AAGACCCGCCGGCGTACCCGCAGTGCCCCTGCCCCCGCGCTGGCGAAGCCCGCCGCCTGGCGGTGCGCCGGCGGGGGCGCCCCGAAAGGGGTTCAGGGTGAACTCGCCGACCCTCGCGAGCTGGATGCGACCGCCACCGAGGCGATGCTGGCCAAGCTTGCCGAAGGGACGCGGGCCAACTACAGCGCCGGGTGGCGTAACTGGGTACTCTGGCGGAGGCTCCGAGGCCGGAGCCCGTACCTGCAGGGGGAGACTCGGGACGCCCGCCTTACGGATGAGGATGACCTCATCCGGTATGTCGTGTACCTGTACAAGGTGATGAAGAGGCGGGCCACGACCATCCGCCAGCGCCTGTTCGCCATTCGATATGCCCACACCCTGGCAGGGTTCGGGGATGCGACCTCCGATCGGCGCCGGCTCTGGACCACGATCGAGGGGCTCCGCCGCTGGGACGGAAAGGCGAAACGGAAGCTCCCGGCCACGCCCCGGATGTTGCGCTGGCTCCGCGAGTACTCGTTCGCCCACGGAACGGCCACGCGCCGAGAGGCGACCATCCTATGGGCGGCGCTTATGACGGGGTACTTCTTCATGCTCCGCGCGTCGGAGTATTTGGTCCAAGAGGACCGCTCCTGGAGCATGGGACGGGTGGTGCGCGGGCAGGACGTGCAGGGGCTGCGCGGGGGTACACCCAGCGCATGGCTCAGCGACTGCGACGAGGTAGTGCTGACGATCACGTCGTCCAAGACGGACTAGTTTAACGCAGGTTGTGTACGCAACCATTACCGTTCGGGGGTGGAGTTGTGCGTCGTGGACGCACTTGCCGACCTCCAGAGGGAGCTGCCGGACCGGTTTGGACGAGGAACCGAGGCGGGGCTCCCCCTGTTCCGCCGGCCCGATGGCCACCCGATTATGCGGGAGGAGGTGCAGGGGCTCCTCCTACTCGCGGCTGCCGCCTGCGGCGTGGACGCAGGCCAGATGGGATCCCACTCCCTGCGCATCGGGGGCGCGACGGCGTTGTACCACGCCTGTCGCGACCTGGAAGCGGTCAAGAGGTTCGGGAGGTGGTCCACGGGCGCCTTCCACGGATACCTCTGGGAGGACCATCGGCGTCAGGCTCCATTCGCCCGAGGCATGGCGGAGGGCCACGCCTTACTGGCCCCGGACGCCCGCGGTGATGACGGCGTCGCGGCCGACGCCCGCCCCGACCGGTTGGCCGGGAGCGACCCGCCCCCGTTTGGGAGCGACCTGAGGCCCTCGGAGCGCCCGGCCTGGGCGCCCGGGCGCCCCCCCTGGGCGCGCCCTTCGGCGCGAGCAGGGTCAAATATGGAGGGGGAAGGAGAGGAGGAGCTGGTGAGATACGAGCCAGGGCGAGGAGTTAACGGGCGTGTTGGGAAGCAGCAGGCGGGCCCCACAGGTGTTCATGTCGGGGCGGGGGCTTCGCGTTGCGGGGGTATCCCGGTGGACCTCTCGCCCTCGACCCCCCTTTCGCTTCCGCCCCCGATCGCCCCAGGCACGCCCACCTCCTCTTGGTCCTCTCATCCGCAGCCATCTCCCACTCCAGAGCGAGGCACGCGAGCAGCGCGCGCACCCCAGCCTCGCGCGCCAGCCGCGCCTCCGCCCCGCGCTCCGGCAGCGTACATCATGGGATTCCTGGTGGGCCTGGTGGCCCCGGACCAGAGCAAGGCGCGCGGCCATGACTACAGCATCATGGCGGTGAACCCCCTCGGCGTCGTCGTCTCGGGGGCCGCGCTGTCGGACGAGCTCCGGAGTGCCGCCCGCAACATCCTGTACGCGGTGGTGGACGAGCTGGACAGCGAGGACCTCGTCGAGGTGGTCAACCACGACCACGAAGCAGCCCCGTGCATCGCGGCGGCTTGCCTGGCCGCGGGGGCGAGCGAGGACCTCGGCCAGCTGGTGATCGTCGACGGCAAGCGGGGCGCGTGGGGAGTGGGCGCGGGGCCGAATATCAAGGTCCAGCGCCAGGCGGCCAAGCTGGCGCTCGCCCTGGCCCAGTTCCAGGGGCAGCCCATGCCGGAGCTCCGCGAGCTCTGCAAGCACAACAGGGGGCTGCTCGACAGGATGCGCACGGTGGACGCGGAGGCGGTCGTGGAGCTCACCGACGTGGACGACGCCTCGAGCAGGGGCGAGGGGAGGTCGACCCCAGCCCCGGTCCTCGAGCCGGGCGAGGACGCCGTGACCGCGGCGCTGGCGCGTGCGGCCATCCAGGCTGCAGCGCGGCGCCAGAGCAAAGGCGCTCCAGCGGAGCGCCCGCGGCCCCCGCGGTCCCCGGGCCAGGAGCGCCTCGCCGAGGAGGTCCGCAAGCGTGAGAGGCGCCCTGCGCCCTTGCGCTCGCCCTCGCGCGCGAGGCGCCGCGATCGCGAGCGCGATGAGCCTCGCGATCGCGGGCGCAGGGGACGGGAGGAGGAGGCCGTCTTGAAGCCCAAGACGGGCGGCGCCCCCCCGAAGGCCGACATCGTGAAGCGTGAGGCCGTCCTGAAGCCCAAGAGCGGGGGGGCGCCGCCGCGGTCCTTCGAGGTGAAGACTGAGGTGGAGGAGACGGCGGCGCCAGGCGCGGGGGACGGTCCGCCCCAGCGCCAGCCGCGCTCGAGGAGCCGCCGTAGGCGCAAAGAGGAGCAGCGCCAGGGCGCCCAGCAGCAGCCCAGTGACCAGCACGACGAGGGCGAGTCCATCATCCGCATCGAGCGGGTACCGCACCACGTCGACGCCGAGGTGGTCAGGCAGGTGGTCGTGCCCTTTGGGGTCGTCAAACACATCGCCTTCCTGTACGACCACCGCCACAAGCGGGAGCCGTGTGTGCTCGTGGAGTTCCAGCGCCGCGCTGATGCAAAGCGCGCGCGGGAGTGCATGAGGTCGAACTATCGGTTCTACAAGACGGACCCGTGCACAGTGGTCACGGAGTGGGCGAGTCGACCTCGCGGCCCTGACCCAGGCAGCGACGGGGAGGATGGCCCGACCATCCAGCCGCCTGCCTGCCCGACGTGCGCTCTCAAGATGCGCTGGAGCTCCTTTGACCCGGGAGACGGTTGGGGTTGCGAAATGTGCCCCGCGGGCGGAGCTAACAGCGGAGCCCTGCGGTGGCACTGTAAGGGGTGCGACGTGAGCTACTGCGAGGCTTGCCGCGTCGCCTTCGGCAAACCCAAGACGGTGGTGGAGAAGGCCCGGCAGAGCGGCCACACCGTGCGGGAGGCGCCGGGCCCCAGTGCCGGCCACGGAGAGCGCCCCAGCACGGGTGCCACGGGTGCGGGGGCTGAGGGGGACCGCCCGCCAGGCGACCTCAGCTGGCCCAAGCGTGAGGGGTCGCCCAGCCGCACCGGCCCAAGCGCGAGAGGTCGCCCAGCCGCAGTCTGGCGCGGGACCCAGCGTGGGCGCGGCGCGGCGACACCCCTCCCGGCCGCACGCGGCGTAAGACCGGGAAGCACGCTGGGCAGCTTCGCGCTCCTCGCGGCGGCTGGTACGAGCAGGAGAAAAAGCGGCGGCGCGCTGCCGCTGCGGAGGCTGCCGCGGGCGGGGGTGGGATCCCAGCCTGGCGTGGCAAGGGCGCGGGCGACAAGGGCGGCAAGGGCGGCAAGGTCAAGGGCAAGCACTCCGGCAAGGCCGCCAAGGGCACCAAGAGCGGCGGCAAGGGCGACAAGAGCGGCAAGGGCGGCCACTCCAAGGGCGACCAGGGCAGCCGCGGCCGGAGTGAGCGTGACCGGCCCAGCGCGGGCGGTCGCGCGTCGAGGGGCGGCGATGGCGGCAGCCCCCGGGACCGCAGTGAGCGCGGCGGAGACCGCAGCGGCGACGAGAGCCGCGATCGCCAGGGGAACACGCCATCCATCTAGGCGTGGAGCACCCCATATCCCGACGCCAGCGCCCGCGGCATCGCGGGCTGCGGGCTGAAGGCGGCGGCCCGTGAGTGAGCCGGCTTTCCTCTCAGCCTACCGTGCGCAGGTGGCGCCTGCGATCCTTTCAGCCTACGGTACGCAGGTGGCGCCTGCGATCCTCTTTCTTTTAGCCTACGGTACGCAGGTGGCGCCTGCGATCCTCTTTCTTTTGAGGAGTTTGAACGTTGCGCGCACGTCGCGCGCTTCCTGGGCCCGGCCGCGCCGCGCGTCCTGCGCGCCGTGCGGTCGGGGCCACACTTGCGCTCTGCGCCCGGCGCATCATGCGCCGCTCTTTTCTGTTCTTTTGCGCGCTTCGCGCACGCGCCGCGCCCGCGCTCTGGGTGCGCGGGGCGCGGAAGGCCTCAAGGTTGCAGGCAAGTGGCCGCGCGCGCGAGGCTCTTGCGGCCTCAGGATCCGCCCTCGCACTTCGGGCTGGGCGTCCCCGCGCGCGCGGCTGCGCTCTCTTTTCTCATGGCCAAGCGGCCGCAGGCGTGCCAGAGCGCGAGCGCGCGGTCCGTCGGGGCCCACGCGCTCGCGTCGGGCGTGGGCCGTCAGGGCCCACGCCCAGGTGGAGATGCGCGTCGCCACGCTGCCATGAAAATACCATCGCCCTGTCCTGGTCCCTCTCTCGTCCCCTCCTCTCCTCCTCTCCCTCCGTTGAGTGCACGCGTATCTCACTTAACTTGTATAGTCTGATTGGTTGTAGACTGCAGGTTAAGTGGGAGGGGGTGTGGGCTCAGGTAGCCATTTTGGGTCCGTAGCGTTCGGCTCTGGCCGACGCGCGGGTGCCCACCCACCCCGCTTTGCTCCCAGACGCCTGCGCGGGCCAAGCGGCCGCAGGCGTGCCAGAGCGCGAGCGCGCGGGCCGTCAGGGCCCACGCGCTCGCGTCGGGCGTGGGCCGTCAGGGCCCACGCCCAGGTGGAGATGCGCGTCGCCACGCTGCCATGAAAATACCATCGCCCTGTCCTGGTCCCTCTCTCGTCCCCTCCTCTCCTCCTCTCCCTCCGTTGAGTGCACGCGTATCTCACTTAACCTCCTCCTCCTCCTCCTCCTCCTCCTCCTTCTCCTCCTCCTCCTCCTCCTCCACGCGCGCGCCAGGTCGCGCAAGAGGCGGGCACTGGGGAGCCCGCGCCCTCGGAGCCCGAAGAGGGCGACGAGAAACCCGCGAACAATAATTTGGACAAGGCGCGCCGTTCGTTTCCTTTTTCATTGCCTCCTGCTGAGGAGGAGGAGGAGGAGGAGGAGGAGGAGGAGGAGGAGGAGGAGGAGGAGGAGGAGGAGGAGGGGGGGGAGGGGGGGGGGAGGAGGGGGAGGAGGAGGGAGGAGGAGGAGGAGGAGGGAGGAGGAGGGAGGAGGGCAGGAGGAGGACGAGGAAGAGGAGCAGCAGGAGCGGGATGGGGAGGACAATATCGACAATGACCATTGGGGGTCGCTGTCCCGACTGCTTGAAAGCGAGCTGGACGCCTGGGGAAGAATATGGATGCAAGCCCGTTGCCTGGTCAGGTCGGCGGGCTGCCTGGGGTGCTGGTGCCCTTCCTCGGCAGGGGGAGTGGCCCGCATACCCCGAAAGCAGGGTACCTTGCTCGGAGAGACGGATAGCAGGGATTGCAGGAGGCTGGCGGCTTCCGCTTCTGTGGCGGTGCGCCTCCTCCCCCCCTTGCGGACAAGTGGAATTCTGGGCAGGGGAGAGCAGGCGCAGGCTCTTCCCCCCCCCGATTCCACCTCCTCCGCCCCCCCCCGCCGAACTTGCGCCGTCTCCTAAGGGCGACCGTGCGGCGTCTCCACCTTCCCAGAGCGATCCGCTACCCCGTCTAGGGGTGGAAGCGCGCGGCGAGCGAAGGGAGGAGAAGAGGAGGAAGGGAGCCAGCCGAGGCCAGAAACCAATGCCCCCGACTAGGGGGGAGGGAGGAGAAGGGAAAGGGAAACTGCGGAGTGGCGACGGCCGCAGCACCCATGGGGTACCGAGCGTAGCCAGTCAGCGCTCTGAAGAACCTTGTTGTCTAGTGTGTTGCATCATGGCATGAAGTAGCAGGAGCAAGTGCCAACAATGAATGTATGTATGGTGCGCGTGTCAAGCGAGTATCAATGCAAACGGTTTCCCGTATCTCTTGACCACCACAGTTTCGATCCATGCCCCAAGTGCAGTGCAAACTGTCTCCGTCGAGCTCATTGTCCATGGCTTGGTTTGGATAGCACCCAGTATCAATTCGCCATCTTCAGATTCCAACATGTCTTCGCAAACAGCATCAATTACGCTGCTTTCCAAACGCTTGCTATAACGTGCTGTTCAAATGTTGGTTGGGACCGAAGTGTGAACCCTTTCCCCAGGGCCAGTTTTCCTCTGGGGCCGTTTTGTTGACGGTCCCACAGGGCCCGGCGAGGGCTCCCAGATGACGAGAACGGCGAACAAAAATCCGCATACCATTTTTCAGTATTGTGGAGGTCTGCCCCTGAGATCCGGCGTTGCGAGCAAAATGCGTCATCGTGAAAACCACGACAGGAGCCCTATATACCCGCCGGTGTCCCTCTTGACTGTGTACGCCGCGCCGCTGCGCGCGTGGCCGCGACGCCAAAGTTGTGTGTGTGTGTGGCTGGTTGACCCAACACGTGTCCCTAGCGCTCTGAGCGGCCCCCCGCGCGCTCGCGCTCGCCCGTTCTGGCCGCGAGGCCACGATCGCCAAAAAACGTGTGCGTGTGTGGTGTGTGTTTATGTGTGTTTGTGTTAATGTGTGTGTGTGTGTGTGGATTTGTGTGTATGTGTTTGTGTGTGTGTGGGTGTGAACGTGCGTGGGTGTGGATTTGTGTGTGTGTGTGTGTCCCGCCTCCAGTCCCGCATCGCCTGATTGCCTCCCGCATTGCGGGCATCTGCTTTCCACGTTTCCACTCCCCCTTCGGATGCCTGTCCTCGCCGTCTCGCCGTCCCCGCGCTGCTTGTCCTCCTGTCCTGCCTTCTCTTCCGCCCTCTCGGATCATGGCGCTTGCACTTCGCCTCGTCTTGCTCGCCCAGTACTGTCGCTACTGGCCTGTTGGCGCCATCCCAGCGTCTCTCCCATCGTAGCCCATGCCTGGGCGTGCGCATGGCACGGTTGATCCCCCCCGTGTGGATCTCTGCCCCACCTTCTGAGCGGGTGGCCGCGCGCGTCTCTCTTCTCTTGCTCTCCGACTTCCTACGCCTGGGCGCCGCACGCGAGGCCGCAACGCCAAAAGTGCGTGTGTGTGTGTGTGTGTGTGATATTGCCTTCTGCCGTATGGCATGGTTGATCCCTTGTGGATCCCGACCCCATTTTCTGAGGGGTTGGCCGCGCGCTGTGCTAGTTCGCTCTGGCTTACTGTCTCCGATTCGTCGCTGCGCGTGAGGCCGCGACCGCCCAAACGTGCGTGCTCATGTTTGTGAGTGTCGCCACGGCGGCTCTACAGAGCGCCCGCGTGCACTTCGGCAAAGAAATGGGTCCCTGGACTTGTGCCCGTCTGGTGCCAGCGCACAGGAGGCTCACGCAAAACCTAGCTTACTTCCGGAACGCTTGATCTCGCGACCATGATTTTCGGGGGCGGCAAAGAGGGGGTGATGACTAAGGGGGGGGGGAATTTCATGACGTGGGCCATGATATTCCCCAGTGTCATGGCGCCTCTTCTTGTTTCATTACTCCCCTGGCCCCCCCCCTGGGCCGCGCACATGCCGCTGGCCATGATTTGCCCCCCCCCCCCCCCCCCTCTTGGACGCCCCCCTCTTGGCCGCCCCCGAGATTATCGACGGGCCTGACTCGACATGTCACCTGCCGCCCAGCGGATGACGGCTTGCCTCTCCAGTGGTCACGACGCTGTTCGGCAGCCTGGATTGAACGCGCGCCTTGTAGCACACTGGCCCCCGGTGCGTGAGGCTGGCTGCGCATTCTTCGCGGCGAGTGTCCTCAATCTCCCCCTCCTCCTCCTCCTCCTCCTCCTCCTCCTCCTCCTCCTCCTCCTCCTCCTCCTCCTCCTCCTCTCCGCCTCCTCCTCCTCCTCCTCCTCCTCCTCCTCCTCCTCCCTCCTCCTCTCCTCCTCCTCCTCCTCCCTCCTCCTCCTCCCTCCTCCTCCCTCCTCCCTCCTCTCCTCCTCCTCCCTCCTCCTCCTGCTCCTCCTCCTCCTCCCTCCCTCCTCCTCCTCCTCTTCCTCCTCCATCCTCCTCTTCCCCCTCCTCATCGCCCGAGGCCCCCCCTCCCCCGGTTTCCTCCTCCGCGGCCTGTGCGTGTGTGTTGGTATTCTGCCGATGTGCCTGCCTTCATCTGCGTGGCCGTAGCTCCCGCGCTGCACCCTCACAGCTCGGCTGCGGAGTAGAAGGTCCGTGCGCGCCTTGCTCGACCCGTGCATTGCCGTGCAGGCTGTGTCCCGCGCGCTTCTGCGCTAGCACGGCCTCCTTGGCGTTTTCCATGCGCATGCGCGTTCTCGCGTTTTTCGGCATGAGTCTGCCTCCTGTCAGACTCCCCATCTGCAGCGCCAGGTGGTAATTTACGTAACTCAGCGCGCCCTGGTATAGTACTCGCGACGGTGCCGCCACCTCGCCGCTGCAGGAAAGTGTGTGTGTGTGTGTGTGTGTGTGTGTGTGTGTGTGTGTGTGTGTGTGTGTGTGTGTGTGTGTGTGTCTGTGTCTGTGTGTGTGTGTCTGTGTCTGTGTCTGTGTCTGTGTCTGTGTGTGTGTGTTTGGGGAGCTGCCCCTGCACCGCTCGGAGGCACCACCGGCGGGGCGCCCGCGCGGTGCCTGCCGAGCACTCCCAGCAACCGTCGTGTCTTCGCGGGGGGATCTCACGACGGAGTGTGTTTATTGTCGTTGCCTTTTTCGGGTTTGGGGGGGCCGCTCCGGGCCCGCGGACCTTCAAAAAGCGCCCTTGGACGAGTAGAAGTGTCACGCGGAAGTGGTCCAGATCTCCGGGGGTCCACGCTGTGAAACAAAATAATGACGTCGGAGTTCTGGAAGTCCTCTCTGTAGTTTCGCTGGGACCTGTCCCCCAGCGCTTTGTCGTATCCTATCCTATCCCATTCTCCTCATGTTTTCGGCGGCGCGCCCAGGAGGGAAGGCAGAGGGGGCGGGCTTTCTCGGAAGCCTTAGAAGGCCTCCAGCTTTGTCTTCTAAGCTTCCTCTGGCGGGCTTCTCAGACGGCTGGCAGACGCATGCGAAGCCCCCCACCGCCTTCTGGGAAGCCCTGCCCGCTCTCACTTCCGCCGTCGGCGCGCCGCCGATCTTCATCCCTGCCCGCCCGCCAGAATGGACTGGACAAGGGCAAGGTCGAGTACCAGAAGGGCAACTACGAGGAGGCCGTGAAAAAAGCATGGGCCCGCTCGCACCAGTCGATCAAGTATCGGAGGGGCCTGCCGGCACTGCCCAGGATTGCCCTGCGTCGGCGCTGCCTCCCCGAGGGGGGTGCTGCTCCCGTTCGGGTCAGTGCTCCGGTCTGCGGCGGCCGCTCGGGACGCTCCGGGCACCCCTGGAACGCTCTCGGCGAGGCGCAGCTGCTGGAGAGCACCCCGAGGCAGAAGAGACCTCTCGGAGCCCACGAGCACGTTCGAAGACTCCGAACCCCAGACCAGACTGCCTCCACCTCGGCTCCGCGGAGTGTCCTGCGTCGGCACTCCCTCCCAGCTCCGCGTCGTCCTCCTCTCGGCAGCACCCGGACATTTGCTTCTGCTGTGTGCGCGTCGGCCCCGCATCTCGGGGCCGACGCCCGCACTGAAGCAGCGTACAGGAGAAGCTCCGTGGCGGTCGCTGTCTGGCCATACCGCTTGGGCTTCCGTGAGCGATCATGCTGTATTATGCGTTCGTTCGGAGCTTCGCCTCCAATGGGGGCACGTGGTACGACTAGTATGTCCTTGTGCCAGCTTCCCTCCTCTTCAGTTCCTCCGCTCACGGCCCGCCCCGTCCCACCTCCCCCCTCCGTCCTCCCTTCCTGTTCTTGGCGACCACAGGCGAGGGCGAGGAGGAGGAGGAGGAGGAGGAGGAGGAGGAGGAGGAGGAGGAGGAGGAGGGCGAGGACGAGTGAGATATCCGAGGGCAAGAGCATGTACACTAAAGGCTGCACGAATCAGTGAAGATGCGCCTGAATCCCCTCACGTGCCGATTGGCACGAAGGAGGTCTGGCTAAGGAGGGTAACGATGTGTTTCTTGACTCTTGCGGTCCGATGGCTACGTCTGCTCGAGCGGGGCCCCTCACTCGTCTGCGAGCCCAGGGGGGACCTGAGAGGGGGCAGGCCTTCTCAGAAGGCGGCGGGGCTTGGCCCCCAAACGGTGTGGTGGCCTCACCGCGTGGTGAGTCACTGGGGATTCGGGGGCACCGCGCGGTTTTAGGACTCGAGACGTTCTCCGAGGACCTCTCGAGCGACTGGGGCCTCCGAGGTCCCCAAAGGCGTGCGGTGACGGACCGCGCGGTGAGGTCGTTGGGGGCGCCGAGGTCACCACGCGGGGTCCGTCACCGCACGCCTTTGGGGGGCCCGAACTCCCTGGGCCTCCCCTCGGCGAACATCGGCCTGATGCCCCCCCCCCTGCGCCTGCGCCGCCCCGACCGCCCGCCCTCCTCGCCCTGCTGTTCGCGGGCCGCGCTGCCCTCTTGCGCCACTTGCCCTCGTCTCTCTTTCCGCCGAGGGTTCCAGGGAAGCCCAAGGCGACAGGGAGGCACGGGTAGGTGTATCTGTACCTCAGGATGCGGACCTTGGGTTCCCTCCAGGGAGATGCGGCCCTCGGTATCGGTATCTCCTCCTCCTCCTCCTCCTCCTCCTCCTCCTCCTCCTCCTCCTCCTCCTCCTCCTCCTCTCCTCCTCCTCCTCCTCCTCCTCCTCCCCCCCCCTCCTCCTCCTCTTCCTCCTCCTCCTCCTCCTCCTCCTCTTCCTCCTCTTCCTCCTCCTCCTCCTCCTCCTCCTGCTGCCCCTTCCCTCCCTCCCTCCCCTCCTCCTTCCCTCCTCACCCCCTTCCTCCTCCCCCTCCCCCGCCTTCCCTCCTCCTCCTCCTCCTCCTCCTCCTCCTCCTCCTCCTCCTCCGCCAGACCCTTTCCTTATAAGTAAATCCTCCCTGCCGCACCCCCCAACGTATTGGTAGGCCGGGCCAGGCGTTTCGCATGAGACGTCCTCACCGTCTGTGATCTTGAAGCCTCTAAAGGTTAACATTTTCATGGATGGAAGGCGGCTTGTTTTCAAAATGTGGCTCTTGCATTGGCGTCGCGCACATTCGTTTTTACAGCTTGCAATAGTTTAAAGGATGGATGTCGGTTCCTTTTCAAAATATGGCTCTCTCCCCAGTGCCGCGCATATTCGACACAACAGTTTGCAACAGTTTCACTGGCTGAGGACAACTCCTTTCCACAATCCAGCTCTCGCGTTAGCGCCGCGCACATTTGCTTTGAAACCCGACATAGCTTAAAGGATTCGTATAGTTGAAATCCGCATGATGTTCCGGCACGTTTTAGGATTGTCAGGACACAACAGTCGTGTTGATTCGAGGTGGTGAAGTCACAGGCATGGTGTTCTGGCACGAGTCAGGATTGTCAGGACGCGAAAATCACATGGATTCGCGGCGCTAAAGTCCCAGGAGTAATTAGTGTTTCGGCAAGATGGAGGATTCTTAGACGGTTGTTTTCCAACAGAATACCCCCCACACAACGAAAATAGGATTCTCATAGTGACCTATGAAGAGGGAGCTTGGAAGGAAGGTTTATTGCAACATCGTTGATGTGTCGATGTGTCTTGGGTTACGCTGGTCCTTCTCCTTTTGACGTTGTGCGGACCTGGATCGGATGATCGTGAAGGTCCTCCTCCTACTCCTCTCCTCAAGCCCTATCCCGAGCGGCCCGCGCCTGGAACGCCATTCCCTGAGCCCGGATCCGCCAACGAGGCCCCCCGGCCAAGACTGGCCAACGACCCGCCGCCAGGATCTCTGCACAGCACGACGGGGTGGGGGGTCGATCTCCGCCCCCCCACCGCAGCCGCCACCCTCCGTCCGCACTCGATTCCTCCCACTCGCCGCCCCGGGCCTTCTGGTCACAGCGGCGGAGTGGCCCAGGGAGGGTTGTCGATCTCCGCGCTCCTGCCATGGCTTGATTTTCTCAATACGCGGTCCCCGGATGGCCCAACCCTTTCCCCAGGGCCCATGTTTCACCTCGAGTTGTTTTTCTGTGGCCTCGAGGCCTGGCGACGGCCCCCGGAGGCCGAAAATGACAAACAAGTGTCCTTCATGTTTTTTGTTCACAAGCCGGGGAGGTGGGGTTCGGTCTCCGCCCTCCCGCCGCAGCCTCCACTCCATCCCTTCCCACCCCGCCCGCCCGAGCAACGCAAGGTAGGCTGAGCAAGGTGTAAACACACATATATGTGAAGCCAGCTGAGGAGAAACATGCGGGGATGCGTACATTGAGGTGCAGCCGTTTTTCTCCAGTGGGCCGTCTTCTTCGCTATGTACGCATTTTCCCCATTTGCGAAAACAACACACAGGGCACGTCTCCCACCTCGCCCGCCCGAGACACAGCGCCAGAGCGGCCCGGGCAGAGGCGCCTGCTGCCTCCTCCACCTCCCTCCTCCTCCTCCTCCTCCTCCTCCTCCTCCTCCTCCTCCTCCTCCTCCTCCTCCTCCTTCCTTCCCCCTCCCTTTCCCTCCTCCTCCTCCTCCTCCTCCTCCTCCTCCTCCTCTTCTCTCCCTCCTCCTCCTCCCTCCTCCTCCTCCTCCTCCTAATCCTCCTCTCCTCCCCCTCCTCCTGCTCCTCCTCCTCCTCCTCCTTCTCCTCCTCCAGCTCATCATCATCATCATCATCATCATCATCATCATCATCATCATCATCATCATCATCATCATCATCACCATATCATCACCATTATCATCACCATCACCAGCATCACCATCATCATCATCATCAGCATCATCATCATCAGCATCATCATCAGCATCCTCATCATCATCATCACCATCATCATCATCAGCATCAGCATCAGCATCAGCATCATCATCATCATCATCATCATCATCATCATCATCATCATCATCATCATCATCATCATCATCATCGTCATCATCATCATCATCATCATCATCATCTTCATCATCATCATCATCATCATCATCATCATCATCCTTCTCTTCCCCCTCCTTTCCCTCCTCCTCCTTCTCCTGCTCCTCCTTCTCCCCCTCCTCCTCCTTCTCCTGCTCATCCTTCTCCTCCTCCTTCTCCTGCTCCTCCTTCTCCTGCTTCTCCCCCTCCGGACGCTCGATCCGCCGTACTTTCATGATTTTCCGACTCGATGGACATGGTTCATGGGGGAAGGGTTGGCAGCCGGAGAGCCGAGTTATGACCCGAAACCAACCTTGATTCCCGATCCGCCCTATTTGAAATGGTTTTCCGACTTGAAAGTGTGTCGGACATTCACCCCACACGATGCGAAACAGCGGGGCGGGCATTTCAGCCTGAGAGAAGCAGGGCGGATGTTGCCGCAAAGGTATTGTGGAAACAGCAACGGCAAAGTAGGGCGGCATTCGGCATCGAAGGATCTTGAAAAGTAGGGCGGGAATCCCGGCGAAATCGCTCAAAGAGCGGCGGATCCGTAGTCTGGGTCTTCCATCACTTCTCGGGATTGCTCCACTGCGAGCAAAGTCGACAGGGCCTGGAACGATTCTTGACCCCTCCGAGGCCCCTTCGATCGCCGCTGGGGCGCTCCGTGCAGCCGAGCTGCCTCCGGCGAGAGAGAGGCGAGATCGGCGAATAGGCGATAGAGCCACTGCCTTCCGACGCTGTGCTTCCTCCATCGTTTCTCGGGGAGCGTCGGCCTGACCCCCGGGCCTCCCGACCTCTTTCCTCCCGCGCCGTGCTCTGACGGCCCCGCGGCCCGAACCCCTTGGCGCGACGACGACGAAAGCCGGCCGCCCCGATCTTGTCCGAGGCGCCGGGTGCCCGGGCTCCGCCGTCGCAGCCGCGGCCGCAGTGGCCTCCTGCAGAGGGGGGGCCCGCGGGCATCCTCGACAAGAACCTCTACAAGGACAAGCCCGACCAGCTGAAGGAGGCCGGCCTCCCCACTCCCCGGCAGGGCTCTTTTCTCTGGGGGTCACGGTCCGCGGCCTCTCCGCGCGGTGGCCTTCGCTTCTGCCCCTCCTCCTCCTCCTCCTCCTCCTCCTCCTCCTCCTCCTCCTCCTCCTCCTCCTCCTCCTCCTCCTCCTCCTCCTCCCTCCTCCCTAGTCCTCCTCACTCCTCCTCCTCCCTCCTCCGCCTCCTCCTCCTCCTCCTCCTCCTCCTCCTCCTGGCGCATTCGAAGCCCGATCGAGCGAGCCGCAGCGAGAGATGGGAAAAAGGAGCAGCGAGGGCGCCATGCCTCGCAACTGCCCGTGCCCCTCAGGCCGCAGCGGGGGGCCGCCGCTGCCGCTGCCGCCTGGTCCCTCGAGGGCATCGGGGCGGGGGGGGGTCCCGCCACTCCCCCGAGGACCGCGACGAGGCGCCGCCAGCGAAGTCCTCGCCTGCTGCTGCTGCTGCTGCTGCTGCTGCTGCTGCTGGTGCTGGCTTGTGTGTGTGGTGTGTGTGTGTGTGGTGTGTGTGTGTGTGCGTGTGTGTGTGTGTGTGTGTGTGTGTGTGTGTGTGTGTGTGTGTGTGTGTGTGTGTGTGTGTGTGTGTGTGTGCGTGTGTGTTTGTGTGTGTGTGTGTCTGTGTGTGTGCGTGGTGTGTGCGTGTGTGTCTGTGTGTGTGTGTCTGTGTCTGTGTCTGTGTGCTGTTTCGGCGCGGCGGACGCTTCGCCTACGCCGCGCACATCGGAAGTTGTACCGCTCCCGCCCCGTGCGCGGCCCGCGAAGGTTTCCATTCGCGAAGTCGTCGGAAACGTGACCGCGCACGAGCGCCCTTCGTTCGCTGGGTGGGAACGCCTTTGAAACCCGATGCGAAGCTGTGCCACAATTCATTATTACAGTGGAGGCCCATGCCAAGAAACACTCTGCTTGCCTCCAGGGTGCCCTGGGTTTCTTGGGTTCAGATGGTTTTACGATGGAAAAAAAGCGTGACGTTCCCACACCAAAAATGAATGGACGTCCTGGGGGCTCAGAGTTGGGTTTCTTGTGGGCGGTTTCTTGTGGTCGGGCCCCCACTCTACAGGATGGAGGGTGGGGATGGCCGGGGGCCCGCTGGTTCGTTCGACCTGGCTAACGAGACTCGCGCCCTTAGTTTCGGAGCCAGGCGTAAGAACGTGCTCGGCTGGGGGAGGGTGGATACTCCGAGTTTCTTAATAAGCGTCGGGGGGGCGGCATCCCCGCCCGCAGCCCCACATCGACCCCCGTCGCGGACAGCCACCGCGCGCCGAAGGCGCTCCGACCCCCGTCGCGGCGCGACGAAGAGGCGAGGTTGACCCCCGTCGGGGGGGTACCCCCCGTAGGACCCTTCGTTTGTGCGATTACAACCCGCGTTTTTTGTTTCACAAGCACTGCTAATCCTGGATATGGTGATTCACCCTTTGATTATTCATGCACTTCTTTTGTTCCTTCTCATCGCTTTCCCAGTTCTTCTGCATTCCTCTCATGGACACACCCCACACTTACAATCCTTATGTAACAGCATTTTAAACAAGGGAATCGTTTTGTGGCGGCTTTGCAACAGGGTTTTCATTGTGGGGGGATCTGCAGCGGCGGCACCTTGATCCCAGGAAAGGTAAAGAGGACAATCGTAAAACAAACAGGAAACACTGGAAAAGTCGTTTGTATTCAAAAGGGAAAAAGAAAAAACGGGAATACCTGTGACTGTCTGTGTTTTTATGTTGCAGATTTACACATTTAAAGTCATTTTGAAGCAGCATTTGCACACATTATTCCTCTTGTGGCGACCTTACACATGCATTTCAAGTGAGGAGGGCCTGCAGTGACCTCCGCAATTATAATCCTTTCGTGACAGCCTTTGCAAAGGGAAGCCTTTGCGGTGGCCTTACACAAAAGGTTGTCATTGCGTGGGGATCAGCAGTGGCGGCACCGTGAGTCTAGTTAAGCTAGATAGGAAAACAGGAACAACAGGCTCAAGAAGAAAAAACCAGTGTTTTCTCATGGGAGATCAAGGGACAGTTCGGAAGACCTGTGGCTGTCGGTACTTTTATGGTGCAGACGCTCCACATTTTAAAATCCTTGTGTCGCATCCGTTGCAACCAAAATCCTTGTGTGGCGACCTTGCACACAGATTTCAAGTGAGGGTGATCTGCAGTGGCCTCCACGCTAAGAATCCTTTTGTAGCAGCCTTTACAAAGGGCATCCTTTTTGTGGTGGCCTTACACAAGGGTGTTCATTGTGGGGGGATCTGCAGTGACGGCACCTTGATCCCAGGAAAGCTAGTGAGGAAAACCGGGAATGCAGGAAACACATGCGAAAGCCTCTGTATCCACATGGGGAAATAAGAAAAAGGTGGGAATCCCTGTGATTGTCGGTACTTTTATGGTGCAGACGTCCCACGCATAACGTTCTTTTGTCGCAGCCTTTAGACATGGATTCCTTTTGTGGCGAACTTAATATGCACATTAGGATGTTAAGTGTAAAGGCCACTGCAGATCCCCCTCACTTGAAATCCTTGTGTAAGGTCGCCACAAGAGGATTCGTTTTGTGCAGGCTGTTACGCACTGATTTAAAGTGTGGGGCGTCTGCACCATAAAAGTACCGACAGCCACCAGCCTTCCTGGCTTTTTCTATTTTCCCATATGTGAAAACAAAGGTTTGTTCAGGTGTTTCTATTTTTTGTGTTTTCCTCTGTAGCTTTCCTGGGCTCCAGGTGCCGTCACGGCAGATCCCCCCACAATGAACACTTTTTTGTACGGCCACCACAAACAAGATTCCTTGTGTAAAGGCTGCTACAAAAGGATTATCAGCGTGGAGGCCACTGCAGATCCCCCTCACTTGAAATCTTTGTGCAAGGTCGCCACAACAGGAATCCTTTATGCAAAGGCTGCCACGAAAGGGTTTTGATGGTGGAACGCCTGCACCATAAAAGTACAGACAGTCACAGGTCGTCCTAGCTTTCCCTTATTCCCCATGTGACAGCAGTTTTTTCCCTGTTGTGCTTATTTTTCCTGTTTTCCTCGCCCGCTTTCCTGGCATCCCCCCACAATGAAAACCCTGCTGTATGGCCGCCACAAAAGGAATCCCTGTGTAAAGGCTGCTCTGAGAGGATTCTACTTGGGGGGATCTGGAGTGGCTTCCACAGCGGAATACAATCGGAAAACAATGCGAATCCAATGAGAATACATTCTGGATTTCTCTATATATCCCTCCCCCCTCTCCTGCCATAAGAATACAATCGACGTGGCAATCGATGATGGAGATGCACAAGAAATCATCAGGAAATCCATCAAACATGCCTTGTTGTGATCATACGAACGAAGGGTCGCACCCGTACCCCCCCCACGCTTATTAAGAAACCCAAGGTAAGGTTCTTCACTTTGTTCGCGTGTTGTTGTGCAACCTGCTGGACGGTACCCTCGAATGTTTTTTTACATACAGGTTAACATATTTGTTCGTTCGTTTTGGTAAGGCTGCGGTTCAAGGCCATGCCTTTCTTGGTTCACCATGGTTTCCTCGATAAGTCTGGCAATTTAGGTCGGGTGAGCCATCGGAAGGGGCCCTCGTTGACCTTATGTGTTTGGGTACGTTTGTCGCAGGAGGGGCCCCTGTCATTTTAGTATGTTATTATGTACCTGCTCCGACTGTACTGATCCTCCTCTTCCTCTTGTTGTTGCCACTGCTACTCGCACTCCCACGCACATGAAGTCCTTCAGGCTCGGGGTCTCACACGCCTGCAACTCCGCTCGCATGAATTCCGTAGACACGAATCAAGTCGTTTGGGTCCAAGTGTTGGCATCTTCTCATGTTCTTCGTTAGCACCTAATGTGGCCACAAGAGGCACTGTTCTATGTATGTTCCTCCAGCGGTCACGTGGCGTCACTGCGGCGAGAGCCACAGTGGGGCGCTTTTGAGCGTCAAGTCCACCTGGGCGACGGAGAACATGGGTGTCGCGTGTTAGCTGCTCGCGTAAGGTCGCGCGTGGTCGCCCTCGCTTCCACTGTAGCATGCCGCGCTGGCGGCCTGCGTAAGCCGCGGCGTGAAGTCGCTATGCCATCTCGCGTAAGACCCGCTCACTTTCGTCGCTCACCTGACGTTGCAGATGGTGGACTGCGCTGGGCAAGTCGGCGTGCAGTGCAATCCAATGGCGAGGGAGGCGAGCGCATGCCGGGAAGTGCACCCGAGCGGGTGGGCGGACAGACCGCGCGTGCAGCGTAGAGCCTCCTGCACGCGCACCCGGATGGTCTAGAACTACGGCATCCCAGTGTTAAACTGTTGAGGGCCATGAGGACCTGACGGCACCTCACCTGCACGGTGGCGGATTATGTGATTGTCATGTGGCAGTAGGTTCGAGGGGGGAGGACCATGAGGAGAAGGAGAGGGAGGACGAGCATGAAGACCATGAGTCCGAGGAGGGCCAGAGTGATTCGGAAGGCGGAGGACGAGGAGGGCCAGGAAGGAGGAGGAAGACTTTTCACCGTCTTCTCCTCTTTCTCCTCCCCTACCCAACTTCCTCTTTCAGTCCGCAGTTGCTTTTGCCGAGCAAGGCCAGCAGCATGTGCACGCACGCTCGCTCAAGCGAATTTGTTCGGAGCCGATGCCGACCTGATCTCTGGTGAGGGCCTACGCTGGCCGCCATCCTACGCCACCATCGAAGGGAGGAGGACTGGAGGAGGATTATCAAGGAGCAGGAGGAGGAGGAGGACAAGGATGAGCACAAGGATGAGGAGGACAGGAGGAGGAGGATGAGCAGGAGGAGGGGGAGGACAAGGAGGAGGGCAATAGAAGGACGGAGCGGAGCAGGAGGACAGGAGCAGGAGGAGGAGGAGGAGGAGGAGGAGGAGGAGAAGGACAGGAGGAGGATACAAGGAGGAGAACAGGAGGGGGACCTTTCCCGGAGAGTTTCGAAGCTGGCCGCCAAAAAAGAGCGCGCCTCCGAGGTTCACGACATGGAGATCACCGTCTGCAACAACATGGCGCAGGGCAGCCTCAAGACCGGCGACTGGACGAAGGCGCTTCTCGGTCGGCCGCACTCCCGGGGCAGGAGGGGAAGGGCGAGAGCCGATGTCTGGAGATCCTCGGAGTGCGCTCGTGTGTTTCGGGACGACCGCTGTATGTGTTTCTCCTCCTCCTTCTCCTCCTCCCATTGCTTCTCTCCTTCCCCTCCTGCTTCTAGTTCTCCTTCTCTTTTTCTCCTCCTCCTTCCCGCCCTGATCGTCCTGCCCTCGATGGGGAGGCCGACGAGGAGTGTGGGATTTCCTTCCGCCCACCACCCCCTCCTTCCATTCCTACTTCGCCAACGTCTCTGTCCCGCTCCCTCGCCTTCGCCCTCCTGCTGTATCTCATCCGTCGACCCCTTCCACTCCTTCTCCGCCAACGTCTTTGTCCTACTTCCTCGTCCTCGCCCTCCTGCTCTATCTCCTCCGTCGGCCCCCCTCATCATCCTCATCGTTCTCCTGGTTCTGGCCCTGGTCCCCTCGATCATTCGCGAAGTCTTCTGCTGGTTGCCCACAGCGTCCCCATGGAGTAGATTCTTGCCTTTCGGCGTTCCTTCCGAAGGGCTACTCTCCAGAGGATTTCTGGACCTCCTCTTGTACTCTCTCGGCTCAGGGCACGCCTCGCTGAGGGGCTGAAAAACATGTTTCTGTTAGCGTGGTGTTTTAGGGTTGTGATTTGTGCATTAGCGTTGTGTTTTGGCGTGGTGTTTTAGCGTGGTGTTTCTGTTAGCGCTGCGTTTTAGAGTGGTGTTTTAGCGCTGTGTTTCTGTTAGCGTGGTGTTCCTGTTCGTGTGGCTTCTGCGGCTCAACGTGGGGCCTTCTTATTTGATTATGCTGGCTACACTGAGGCTTATGTCTGTGTTTGTCTCTGTCAGCGTCTGTCTCTGAGTATGTGCATGTGTGCATGTGCATGTGTGTACCCTTATGTGTGTCGGGATCTGTGTCAGTGAATGTTTCTGTGTATGTGTCTTTGTTCGTATGTGTATGCGTATGCATATGTATGGGTAATTATGTGTATGTCTCTATGTGTATGTGAATGTGTGCGCGTGTGCATGTGTATGTGTGTCGGGGTGCCCGCATGTATGTGTACGAATACGGGTGTGCATGTGTGCATGTGTGTACGGGTACATTTACCTAATACACTTAACGAATACATTTAACTAATACACACCGCTCCTCCCCTGTCCTCCCCTCTTCTTCCTTCCCCCCCACACGGACACTTAATTAATACACCGAACTAATACACTTAACGAATACACGCCTCTCCTCCCCTGTCCTCTCCTCTCCTTCCCTCTCCCCCCCCATACGTACACTCAACTCATACACTCAACGCATACACTCAAACACTCAATTCATACACTCAACTCATACATTTAACTAATATATTTAACTAACTCACTTAACTAACACACTCAACTAATACACTTGACGGATACACTTAGCTAATGCACTTAGCTAATGCACTTAACTAATACACTTAACTAATACACTGAACGAATACACTTAACTAATACACTTACTACCTAACACACTTAACTAATACACTTAACTAATGCATTTAACTAATACGCTTAACTATTACACTTAACTATTACACTTAACTAAATACAAGCACCACCGTGCACTTACAACCACCACGGCACCGTACACTACCAGCAGAGTCTCAGCGCGTCATTGTGTGAGAATGCTTCGGGGCCAGACGGACAGAATATCAGCAGCTGTCCAACTTGCGCGAGCTGACAACCGTCGTCATGAATTCGTGTCTGCTTCGAGGCATATTGAACCCGCAATGCGGGAACCACAGCAGACCCCTCTTCGGGAAATTTGCCCGCCAGTGTGGCGTGTTTGAGGTCTGGGGGGCCCTCTGGGAGCCCCACTGGGGCCTCTTGGGAGCACCTCCCAGATGCGCGTTGGTCTGCTTGCTCGTCTTTTCCTCCTCTTATCTGGTCGAGAAGCACAGACCGCCGGGAGCTTTCGGCGCCAGCAGGAAACACCTTTGGGGCGTGGGATCGCCTGGGGCCTCCGCCTCTGTGGGGCTTTGGGGGGCGGCATGCGGGCCGTCTTGGGCCGTCCAGGGCCGTCTGTGGGGCCTCTTGGGGGCCTCTTGGGGGGCTCCATGGGCCGCTGGACGCCCTGGAGGCTGAAGAGTCGACATTTGTCAAATCAAACAGAAACCTTAGATGTTTAAGGATGGTGGCCCCTGGAGCCCCCCCGGGGCTTCCCCTCAGAGCCTTCTCAGACCCTGCCGAGGTCCAAACACGGCGTAGTGCCCGCGGGCCCGCCGTATTCTTGGCAATTCGGGTATCCTCACCGGCGAGATGCCTTGATCGGGAACGCGCGGGAGCAGGCAGTAGAACAATGCATGGGGGCAGCCTTCAAATCTAAGCTCGGCATCTTGGGGCCCTCTTGACGTTGGATGCCTTTGGCGCCCTCTTGGGGCCATCCTGGGCCCTTCTTGTGGCCAGTTCGAAAGACGTCGGGGCTTCGTTCTTGTGGGCCTTTGGGGACCTCTTGAAGAATCCTTCGTGGAGACGATTCATCAAACAGTGGGGCGGCGTATAGTACTCGCCCCCTGCGTCGGAGGCCAAACGCTCGCCTCTTGGGGCCCTCTTGGTGCGTGCTTGGGGCGCTCTCGGGCGCCCACGGGGCCGTCTTGGAGCCTTCTTGGGCCCCCTCTCGGGGTGCCATTGGGCCATCTTGGATCCATTTGGAGGTGTCCGAGCCGTTTCGGAAGCGAAGAGGCGAGAAGGCACACATCACAGATTTGCCTCTTGTTCTGGAGGACGTTCTCTCCTCTCGGGGGCGTTCTGGGGACGTTCCGTGGCCACTTTGAGCCGTTTTGGGACGGTCTCGGGGTATCTTTGGAGGACTGCTGAAGGCTATCGTAATCCATCTTGGGCGACCCTGTGCGATCTTGGAGGCCGTCTTGGACTACATCGCGGACGCCCTGACCCCTCGCCAAACCCTGGCCTCGACCCCAGGGGAGGGCAGGGGGAGGGGAGGGGGAGGTGTAATTCCCACCCCAGGCATCAAGAATGGGGGTTGGAAGTGCGAGCTCGCTAAATCACCCAACGGTGGCGCGCCCAGGGGGGAAGGCAGAGGGGCGGGCCTCTGGCCTCCTGAGAGCCTCTCTCAGGTGTCGTCGACGCCACAGGTGGCTTCTCAGAAGGCTGGAGGGTTTCTGGGGAGCCCCGCTGCCTTCTGAGAAGGCCTGCCTCCTCATTGATCATCGTCGTCTCGTTTTCGGGCCATACTTCGGGTCCCCAGAGGCCGTTCGGGACGATCCGGGCGCCCCTAATGCCTCTTGGCGAAGCGCAGCCGCAGCAAAGCATGCCGAGGCTGGAAATCCGCCGAGAACCGACGACAACGCCCGAAGACCTTCCCCCCTCGGCGCGCCGCCGAACATGCGCCTCGAGGTGCTTGTGGGAATCGCAGTGGCCCCTGGATTTCGGGACTACCGGGGCCGCGGATCGATCCTCGGTGCGCAAGTCGACCTAGATTGGAGCAGTGGGTCTGACGCAGTCGGGTCGGTGGCGAGAGGTGCAATCGTTTATCACTTGTGTACCGCTGCGTGCAACAGCACCCACCACATTGCGGAGAGTGGGATTATACACACTATTGCACAGATGTTGCATGTGAAGAAATATCCAGAACTGCATGCACGCGCAACTACTGCATCCAGCCTGCATTCAGCGCGCAAGTTTTTGCATCCAGGCACCAACTTTGCAAGTACTGCTTCACCTCTCCCCGCGAACTCATCTGCGCCAGACCCACTACTCTGGCTTAAAGCTTTGAGCCTTTCTCTCCTCGGGTGCCCGCAGCATTCTGCCAGGCAGTCGAATATGCCGACATGGCGCTGCGAATAGAGCCCAACAACGCGAAGGCGTGGGCTGTGCAGCGTTGCCCCTCTTGATGCGCGCGCGTGCGCGCGTGCAAAAGATAATAGCCATAGGAGGAGCGAAGCCGACGATAAGGAGGGGGACGCATACTAATCATAAACATAAGATGATAGAAGAGGGTCAGGAGGGCGGGCATCGGCGATATCGGGCCTGGGCTTGCATTCCCCCACCACTACCATGTTTTCGGCAAGGACGTTGAAATCACAACAGAGATGCCCAGTTGTAAACATCAGCTGCAGGTTCGAGTGGCATTGCCACTCATTATCTGGAACTGGGGAGGGAGTATTGAGCCATGCCGGGAGGGGATAGAGAGAGAGAGAGAGACAACACAAAAGAAAGACAGAAAGACAGGTGGGATAAGCTAGGTGCGTAGACGCCACATCTGACATCCTACCCCTCCCACCCATCATCTCCCAGTGCGTTGAATTCTTTCCGATCCGCCGAATGAGCTGTCCTAGAGGACATTGGTGCCCAAATGGCAGTTGCAGGCTTTGACCGATCGTTTGCTGGGCACTGGGGAAGTTGGCGGCCCGCCCAGGGGGAAGACAGAGGGGGCGGGCCTTCTCAGAAGGATCAGAAGGCTCCCCCGCCCTCCGAGAAGATCTCAAGGCCCTTCTCGAAGTTGCAGAGGACTGACTTCGAAGAAGGCCCGAGGGCTTCCGGGAAGAGCCGCCGCCTTCTCAGGAGGCTTGCCCCCTCTCACCTCCCCCCTCGGCGCGTCACCAAACAATGGGCTTGCCATCTCTCGGACGTGTGCACTTCTTCGCGGCGAGGACCATCGGGGAGCACATTGGACCACCTTTCAAGCAAACGAGGACAAACGCACTAGACCGAAGGCATGCACGGAGAATGGGCGTCCGAGCGATGGCAAGTGGGGGCTTCTGCACAAAAGATGAGGAGGAGGAGGAGGAGGAGGAGGAGGAGGAGCGGCTGCAGACTGCCGCAGCGAACCAGCGACAGCCATGCCAGACGAGCGGCAGAACATCAGAGCACGACAGAGAAAGAGAGAGAGAGAGAGAGAAAGCACGCAGGAGGGGCTACAATAGGCATAGATGCTTTAAAGCGGCTTGAGCAGTGGTGTTTGAAGTCTGTGTGTGTGCGTGTGTGCGTGTGTGCGTGTGCGTGCGTGCGTGCGTGCGTGCGTGTGTGTGTCTGTGTGTGTGTGTGTGTGTGTGTGTGCGTGCGTGCGTGTGTGTGTCTGTGTGTGTGTGTGTGCGTGTGTGCGTGCGCGTGCGTGCGTGCGTGCGTGCGTGCGTGCGTGCGTGCGTGCGTGCGTGTCCCGCGCGGACATGGAAGTCTTCCGCGTCTGAGTGCCCTCCATCTCCTCCTCCTGTCCTCCGCGGCCGCCCTGTCCCCCCTTTTTCCTGCGCTTCACACAAGCCTCCGCGTCGGCCGAGGGTGCCCCCGCCCCTGCGAAGCAGCGCGCCCTTGCGTCCGAGCTCCAGCTCACCACAGCCGACAGGCAAGAAGCTAGAGGGCATGCGTCAGGGGCTCGTTCAGCGCGTGAGCGACCTCCGCGAAAGGGGGGCCCGAAAGGCGCAGGGTGCCCTCACGCTGTGGCGCGACTGGTACCACCGCCATGGCCCACGCTTGCTGGGCTGCACCCACGGGGGCCCCAACCACTGCTCCTCCGAGCAGCTCACGAGCTTCCTGGACACATTCCCTGGCTCGTGGATCCCGATGCCGAAGAGGGCTGCGCCGCAGGAGGGTCGGGGCCCCCGCCCGCTCCCAGCCTCGGCCTCCCAGGTAAGTCGCCCGGAGCACTGAGGAGGGTACCGCGCCCCCCCGCGCGCCCGTTCGGCTTGCGCCCCCCGCCTTGGGCCGCCACTCCCCCCTCCTCGAGTCCCCCCCTCCGCGCGCACGGCTCGGACCCCCGCGGCTCCCTGCGGCCGTCTCCCGCGCGGGTCGCTGGCCCCGGCACGGCGGGAGGGATCCTCCACTGCTGGCCGGGCCGCGGTCGCGCTGCCTGGGGGGCCGCCCCGCCCTGCAGTGCCCCAGCCCCCCCTTGCCCCTCTCCAGAGTGTGCCTGCCGCATCGTCACCGTCGCACGCCTGACCTGGACCGCGGGGACTCCCAACCACCTGGTGGGACACGGAGGGCCCCCTTTGGCCCCCCCCTCTGTGACCCCTTCTCTCGGGTGCGGCCCACGCCAGTGCCCCTTGCCCCCTGGGTTTGGGGCGGGGCGCCAGTGCCGGGGCTGGCTGCCAGGGCGGACCTGGCTTCCCTCCCTGGGTGTTCCCCCTTCCGGGGCACACACGCCTCCGCCGTCTCACTGCACTGCGTGCCCCGCGCTCCTGCGCGTCGAGCACCGCCTCGCTCCCGCTCCAGCTCGCTTTGCCGCGCAGCTCCCCTCCGCTGCCCGCTGCCCCCATGGCACTCGGCGGCTCTCACCGCCAGGTGCCTGTCGCCGCCGCTTCCCGACGGCGTCCCGCCTTCCACTCGCCCGTCTTCCGGTGGTCCGCCATCTCGCTCCCGTCTCCCGTCTCTGTCTGTTGTTCCTGCGTTACCTGTCCTGCCTTGCTACTCGCCCCCTGCGTTCACGCCTTTGCCACCGCCACTGCGCCTCGCCTTGTTGCGCCTACACTGTCGGTACTTGCCTGTCGCTGCGTCTCTCCCCCCCGCTGCCATTGCCCGGGTTAGCGTATGACGCGGTTGATCCCCTGGGGTGGGTCCCTGCCTCTGGCTTCTGAGTGTGCTCGCCGCGCGTTTCCGCTGCTAGCTCGCTGACCTTATACGATGCTACGCCTTAACGCCGCGCGCGAGGCCGCGACGCCCAAGAAGTGTGTGTGTGTGTGTGTGTGTGTGTTTCTGTGTCTGTGTTTCTGTGTCTGTGTCTGTGTCTGTGTGCGTGCGTGTGTGTATGTGTGTGTGTGTGTGCGCAGAAGGTGCTTCCTACCACCTGCAGATATGTTCCAGATCATCGGTCTGTCACTCTCCATGGCTGCCGCTTCCTCCTCGTCCTCATCCTCCGTCCTCCTCTTTGCCATTCCTCCTCCGCGTCCGTCCTCCTGCTCCTCCAGATCCCTCCTCCCTACTCCCTGTTCCCTCCTCCTCCCTCCTCCTCCTCCTCCTACATCCTCCTCCTCCTCCTCCTCCCTGACCCCCCTCTCCTCCCTCCTCCGCCCTCCCTCCTCCTTTCGCCTGCGCTGGTGTCGCCTCTCCCTCCATTGCCTGCTCTGGGCCCCAGACGGGCGCCATGCTGCTCGCTCGCTCCTGGGGCGCCCGCAGCCACCCCCCCGCCATGCCCTTGTGCACACCGAGCGGGCGGGCCTCCATATCACGCCTTTCTCCGTCTCTCTATCGGCGCACCCGCTGGCCTTTGGACCGTGACGGCGGGTGCTCCGCCCTCGCCGGGCCGAGAGCTGCTGCCGAGCGAGCCTGCGGAGGTCGAGGCGATTCAGGGTGCTCTCGGCCGCCGAGGAGCTCGCAGCGGGCGGGCCGCCGCGCTGGTGCCGTCCCCGCGGGGAGCCTCCTCCGCCCATCGTGGAGGCGCGCGTCGGTGTTGCGTCGTGAATCACGACGGGAGGCGTTTGAATTTTCTGTCCTTTCCGGGCTCCGGGGGCCCTCGTTGGGCCCCAGCGCCGCCAAGCGACGACCTGGGACGGAACGCAGGTCCGGGGGGAGGGGTCCGGACCTTTTGGGGGCCACGCTGGGAAAAGAAAAGGTCACGGCAGCGGAGTTCTGGCATCGCGTGAAGGGGACTCTTGGCGGTGCCGGGGCGGTCGAAGACCCGCACGAGCTGGTGGTCCAGGACCTGGCGCGTGTCCTCCGCATGCCTGGTACGAGCTGGTAGACCGTGACCCCATGCCTGACCTGTGCATGGATCCGGTCCTGAAGAGATGCACGGAGTCCTCGCGGCCTGGTGAAGGACCTGGCAGGACCAGGGCTCGTCGTAGTGACACTGGCCCCCGCCGAGTCGGTGGGCTTGGTTTTCGCGGCAAAGTCCAGCGGTGGGTTGAGGATGATCATCCTCGCTCGGCGAATCAACGCACACTTCAAGGACCCCTCGGGCTCGCGCCTGCTCAACAGCGAGGGCTCTGGGCGCTATGTATGTTATATATGGCATCTGATGTATGGTATACTGGTACATGATGTATGGTGTAGGATGTATGCTATATTGACGATTCTGTATACAAGTACCGCCCCCCCAGGGCCCCCGCCCACCTCCGAAATATCTTCGGCAAATCTCGGGTAAAGCCCTCCGGGGCCTCCCAGCCTCATGAGAGCTTCGGGGCGGCCCATGACAGGCCCGAGCGGCCCGAAGGGGCTCCCAGAAGCACCCCCGAGGACCCAGGCAGGCCCTTACAACACCCCGAAGACCCCCCAGGAGGCGCCCAAGAGGCCTCCAAGGAGCCTCAAAAGGAACCAGAGCGCCCCACGAGGCTCCCAAGAGAGCCTCCGGAGGCTCCCACGAGGGACCCAGGAGGTATCATCAAAACCGCTTTTTGATGATACCGCCTGGTCGTTTTCGGGAGAAGCCTCGAGACAGACTACAGGCTCCCAAAGAGGCTCCATAACAGCCCCGAGGAGCCTCCAAGAACTCCCCAAGAGGCCCCTAAGACGCCCTCAAGAGGTCACAGGAGGAGGAGAAGGAGGAGGAGAAGGAGGACGAGGAGAAGAGGGAGTAGGAGAGGAGTTGTCGTCGTCGATGTCGTCGTCATCGTCGAGTCGTCGAATTCGTCGTCGTCTTCGTCGTCGTCGTCGTCGTTATCGACGAAGGCAGTATCATCGCCGGCGTCGAGGTCTTCGTTGTCTGCAACGTCTTCGTCGTCGTCGTCGTCGTTCTCAGTGTCGTCGTCATCGGTGTCGCCGTCGCAGTCGTCGTCGTCGTTATCGGTGCCGTCGTCGTCGTCATCTTCGTCGCCGTCGGTGTCGTTTTCGGTGTAAATGTCGTCTCGTCGTCGCCGCCGTCGTCGTCTTCGTAGTCGTCTTTGTCATAGTCGTCGTCACCGCCGCCGCCGCCGTCGTCGTCGCGATCGTAATCGTCGTCGTCGGTGTCGTCGTCGCCGTCGTCGAAATCGTTGTCGTCGTCGAAGTCGTTGTCGTCGTAGTAGTAGTAGTCGTCGTCGTCGTCGTCGTCGTCGTCGTCGTCGTAGTAGTAGTAGTAGGAGGAGGAGGAGGAGGAGGAGGAGGAGTAGTAGTAGTAGTAGTAGTAGCAGTAGTAGTAGTAGTAGTAGTAGTAGTAGTAGTAGTAGTTCGTCGTCGTCGTCGTCGTCGTCGTCGTCGTCGTCGTCGTCGTCGTCGTCGTCGTCGTCGTCGGTGTCGGTGTCGGTGTTGGTGCCATCGTCATCGGCGTCGTCGCCGTCGTCGTTGTTTCAGACGCTTCTCCTTGGTGGGGCCTACATCGAAGCGTCACATGATGCTTCTTGGGGGGTCTGCATCGTGATGCGGTTGCGCCGCTCTTGGGGGGGTCCCAGACTCGCTGTCCAACATTTGTTTTGACCCCCTCCCGACCGATATTCTGTGAGAGTTGGATGATGTGTGCGACGCGAATGCGAGAGCTACATTTGGAACACTAGGGGGCGGTATCGGGCGAAACGCCGGCCCACCGAGACGTCCCGCTCTCCGATGAGGAAGACAAGCGTGTAAGGAAGAGGATGGGGGTCGGAAAGGGAGGGGGAAGGGGTACGCCTTCTCGGCGAAGATACTCCGAGTTTCTTGGTAAGCGTCGGGGGGGCGTCACCCCCGTCGACAGCCCCACATCGACCCCCGTCGCGGGCAGCCACCGCGTGCCGAAGGCGCTCCGACCCCCGTCGCGGCGCGGCGACGAGGCGAGGTTGACCCCCGTCGGGGGGGTACCCCCCACGCGTATTAAGAAAGCCAGGTTTTGGATGGTAATGTGTGCTGCCGTAGCTTCAACACCTGACAGGGATCTGCAATGAGGCCCTCTCTGACGATGGCCGTTGCATGCGGCATTTCTCTTCTTCATGATCCTGAGGGCCGTCACATTTGACAGAGATCTGCTGCCCCAGGGCCTGGAGAGCTGCATTTTTTGGCAGTCACCTTCCTTTGCTCCAGAAGCGCACAGCTTGTGATCGAGAACCCAGAGGGCCCTAACACGCGTCACGTTTCTTCTTTCTCTCCCGAGGGTCGTCAGACGTGACAGCTTGGTTTCCCAAATCTGACAAAACCACAGCATGCGATAGTTACTTCCCCGCGAATTTTGGAGAGCTGCAGCATGTGAGGGTCTTCGGGCTGTTCGGAAGAGCGTCGGGGCCGCCAGCGGCTAGGCTTCAGCCGTTGTAGGGAATGGCCTGGGGGGGTCCAGGGTTCTTCTGGGGCAGAATTGGGTTGGTTTTGGAGTATCTTCCGGCCGTCTTGGAATCTCTTTGGAGCCGTTTGGGGAAGTTAGGGGGGGCTGCTGGGGCCTTTTGCGGCTTAAGCGTGACATGCAGGAAGCTTGATCAGCCCGCAGTTTTTCTGTTGTGTTCGGCTTCCCTGGGTCCGCCAGGACGGCCTCTCCGAGGCCTCTTGGGCTTTCTTGTGAGCCTCTTCGCGCGTCCTGAACGCCTCTTGGGATCCCCTTGCGGAGAGGAGCACGGCATCACGCTGATCATCGGATGTTCGCGGGTTGCAGGTCTGGAACGCGTGAAGTCTGGGGTGTTGGCTGGTTTGCCCTACTTTGTTGTCTGCCGCGCTGGTCTGCCGTGCCGTCTTGGAGGCTTTATGGGAGCCGTCTGGTGGCCTGTTGGGGGCCTCTTGCAGGCCTCGGGTGTAATAAAAACAACACGCGCGCGAAAAACGCCTTCGTCTGTCGGGCCCTCAAAAACTCCAAGACCCGCTCCCCCACAAGACATCTGGCGCTCCAATATTTTCGATGCGTGGACCCCCGGAGTTCTGCACAACTTCCCAGGGTTTCCATCTGGACTTTTGTTCGACGGTCCCGGTGTTCGCTGTGGGCTCCCCGAGGCCCAAAATAGACTAAAATTGGCCGCTCCAATTTTTCCAGAGCCTCGGACCTCTGGGGCTGGAAGCGTTGAGAATGAATGCGCCTGGCGCTGTGGCGAGAGCCCAGCTCGCTCACGCAGGGCTCCCGCGGCAGGGGGCCCGCGGCGCCTCCTGGAGGAGGAGGAGGAGGAGGAGGAGGAGGAGGAGGAGGAGGAGGAGGAGGAGGAGGCGCAGGAGGAGGAGGAGGAGAGAGGAGGAGGAGGAGGAGGAGGAGGAGGAGGACAGCTTACAAGCATAGGACTTGAAGTTTTCCTGACGTCAAAAGCAGGAGGAGGAGGAGGAGGAGGAGGAGGAGGAGGAGGAGCCTCGGATCTCTGGGCCTCCTGTCGACCCGCCCGTGCGACAGGCGCTGTGGCGCAAGGCGAGCGCGCAGAAGGCGCTGCTCGGCTACCCCGAGGCCATGGCGACGCTGGAGAAGCTGCTGCAGGCGGGTTTGTTGCGAGCGGGTCCTCCTCCTCCCTCCTCCCTCCTCCCTCACTCCCCCTCTCCCTCTTCCCTCTCCTCCCTCTCCTCCCTCTCCTCCCTCTCCTCCCTCTCCTCCCTCCCTCCCCTCTCCTCCCTCTTCCCTCTCCTCCCTCCTCCCTCCTCCCCCCTCCTCCTCCCTCCCTCCCCCCTCCTCCATCTTCCCTCTCCTCCCTCCTCCCTCCTCCCCCCTCCCTCCTCCCTCCGTCCTGCCTCCCCGAAGCAGGGACGGCCCAAGTTTTGCGATATCACCCGTCTATGTCGAGTCAAGTTCGCGGCTCCTGATCCCCCAGCGGTGGCCGCCCCCGCTGCTCTGTCCGCTGCTCCTCCGTATGCGTGCCTGCCCCTCCCGCCCCCCCCCGTCCTCTCGGTCCCCCGCCCTTCCTCCTCGCTGCTTCTCGCCCCTCCCCTCCTCGTTTTCACCGACACGTGAGCGTTTAGTGTGCGCTCCCTACCTCGATGTGTCGCCCGTCCCCGTCCTCGGTCTTGTCCCCGTCCCCGTCTGCTTGCCTGCTGCTCCTCAAGGCCTCGCTCTGGACGGGCGTACGCCTAGAATGCGGTGACGTCTACCCTCGAGGGGAAGCGGATCTCTCTCTCTCTCTCTTGCACCTGGACGGGCTCGAGGGGGCAGTGCGCTCCCCACACACTTCCCGTGCGCCACCCCAGCCAGTTTTCCGAGCCTGCGCCCATGACCGCGGCGACGGAGGCCCCCAGACGCCCCGAGGGCTTCCGAGGGCCGCCGAGGAGCCTCCGAGGGGTGGGCCGGCGGCAGTCCTCGTCTCAGGGGGGAGAAAAGGTTCGTCGGTTCTCGGCGATCATCCAGCCGCAGGGTGCGTTTCAGCAGCTGCGCCTCGCCGAGAGCATTCCGCTGGGGCCCAGATCGTCCTGACCGGCCACCGGAGAGCCAAGCTGCGACCCAAAAACCGGGGGGAGGGGGAGGGGGAGGGGGGGGATGATCAGAGGAGGAAGATCTACCGATGCCGCTGCTCGTCCTGGAGAGCCCTCGTCGCTAAGGCCAGATTATCTTGGAAATGTTGTCAGATAGCACTTCTGGAGAGGTCTGGAGAGCAGCGAGATATCGATGCACATGTGTTTCCTCTCTCTGTATATGTATATACATACACATAGTTTCTCTCCCAGAAGGAGGAGGAGGAGGAGGAGGAGAGGACAATGATAATGATGATGGTGATGCTGATGATGATGATGATGATGTTGATGCTGATGCTGATGATGATGATGATGGTGGTGGTGATGGTGATGATGGTGATGGTGATGGTGGTGGTGGTGATGGTGGTGGATGATGGTGAGGAGGGTGATGATGTTGTCGTTGTTGCTGATAATAACAAGGATGATGAGTATGATGGTGATGATGACGACGATCATGATGATGATGACGATGAAGTTGATGTTGATGTTGTTGGTGATGATGATGACGTTGATGGTTATTGTGATGCTGATGATGCTGATGGTGATGATGATGATGATGGTGGTGATTGTGATGGCGATGACGTTGACGACGGTGATGGTGATGCTGATACTGCTGTTGAGGATGATACCGATGCTGCTGATGATGATGATGATGCTAATGATGATGATGCTGGTGGTGCTGGTGATGATGCTGATGATGACGATGATGATGATGATGCCGATGGTGGTGATGATGATTAGTCGTACGATGTGTATTAATACCCTTAGTGTAGTTCGTAGTTACATGATTAGTATCATTATTTCTATAATCAGTGTGAGATTCGCTTTGTTTTATGTGTGTTCTGGTTGGTACCACTATTCTTAGTACTCATTTTAAATCAGTAATGCTCGTATTATTCTTGCTCATGGTATCACTATTAGCCGTAGTAGTAGTAGTAGTAGTAGTAGTAGTAGTAGTAGTAGTAGTAGTAGTAGTAGTAGTAGTAGTAGTAGTAGTAGTAGTAGTAGTAGTAGTAGTAGTAGTAGTAGTAGTAGTAGTAGTAGTAGTAGTAGTAGTAGTAGTAGTAGTAGTAGTAGTAGTAGTAGTAGTAGTAGTAGTAGTAGTCGTAGTAGTAGTAGTAGTAGTAGTAGTAGTAGTAGTAGTAGTAGTAGTAGTAGTAGTAGTAGCAGCCAGTAGTAGTAGTAGCAGTAGTCGTAGTCGTAGTCGTAGTCGTAGTCGTAGTCGTAGTCGTAGTCGTAGTCGCAGTCGCAGTCGTAGTAGTAGTCGTAGTAGTAGTAGTAGTCGTCGTCGTCGTCGTCGTCGTCGTCGGTGTCGTCGTCGTAGTAGTAGTAGTAGTAGTAGTAGTAGTAGTGCTGCTGCTGCTGATAAAGATGGTGCATATGACGACGATGATGGCGATGGTGGTGGCGGTGGTGATGATGATTAGGTGGGTAATGATTACGATGACGTCGATGGTGATGATGCGAATGAAGTTGATGGTAATGATGACGATGGTGATGATGATAATGCTGATAGTGATGTTGATGATGACGAGGCTGATGATGATGAGGAAGAACAAGAGGAGGAGAATGAGGAGGATGAGGAGGAGGAAAAGGAGAGGGTGGAGGAGAAGGAGGAGAAGGAGGAGGAGTAGGAGGACGAGGAGTAAGAGGAGGACAAGAGAAGGAGGAGAAGGAGAAGGAGGAAGAGGAGGAGGAGAAAGAGGAAAAGACGGGAGAGTCGGAGCAAGAAAAGGAGCCCGCGGCGGAGGAAGAGGGTGGCGGGCGGATGACGGAGGGGGAGCAGGAGGAGAAGGAGGAGAAAGAGGAGGTGGAGGAAGAAGAAGAAATGGATGATGATAATGATGATGATGATGATGATGATGATGATGATGATGCTGATGATGATGATGATGATGATGATGCTGATGATGGTGATGGTGATGATGATGATGATGATGATGATGATGATGGTGATGATGATGATGATGATGATGATGATGATGATGATGATGAGGATGATGATTTGCCCAGCATCAATCACTCTCCCTCCCTCTCCTCTTCTCCTCTCCGCTTGCCGCTTCTCCCTTCTGCCTTTCTCTCCTGTCCCTCTCCCTCTCCCCCCCGCTCCTGCCAGCCCCCCCCCGCCTCGACTCAGGTGGAGCCCGCGAACGCCGCCGCCAGGGCGCTGCTGGCAGAGGTGAGGCAGCTGAACGAGAAGAGCAACCGCAGGGAGCGCCTTCAATCTCCAATCTCCAATTTCATTTTGTTCGAGGAGCGCCTCACTGAATGAGGAGGGGCACCCCCAATCTCGTGTTTTGGTGCGAGGAGGTAAGAACGGCGTAACCACAATATTTGGGAGCTCCGTTCGGACCTCTGGGCGTGTATGGTTACGAAAATTACGTCTCATTCCAGTTGTGGTGTTGCTCCGCTCGGGATCTTCAGAGGAGCGCCCCGAAGCGAAGGGAAAGCGCAGAGACAAGCATTTAATCGAAGACGCCTGCGGCGAACCAACGACGCACCCCCCACCTGTTGGAAACGCTTGCGGCCAAACGTTGGGCCAAAAGTCTTGACAAGCTACTGGGCTGTGTGCTCCGCAAGCCGTTGTGGAACCCCTTGGGGGGAAACACCTGGGAGAGAAAGAGAGAGGAGGATGAGAGGGAGGAGGAGGACGAGGAGGAGGAGGAGGAAGAGGAAGAGGAGGAAGAGGAGGAGGAGGACAAGGAGGCCTCTCGAGGCCGTCTTGTGGCTTCCTGGGGGCTTTGGGGAGCCTCTTGGGTGCATCCGATGGGCCTCTTGGGAGCTGGGGCCTCTCGTGGGGGCATCCTGGGGCCTCTTGGGGTCCTCTGGGCGCCTCTCAGGGACGTCTTGGCCTTCGGAGGCCGTCTTAGGGGCATCGGCATCGCTGAGCAGTCGTGGGTCCCTCTTTGGGCGCTTGGAGGCCGTCTTGAAAGTCTGCGAGGCCGTCTTGGGCAGTCTTGATGGCCTCTCGGGCCGTATTGTGGGCCTCGCGGGGGCCTCTTGGGCCGTCTTGGGGCGATCTCGGGGATTTCTGGTGCCGTCTTGGAGCGTCGGAAGCTCGAAGATACGAGAACGCCGCCAAAATCATTGAGCAACCAAAGGGTCTTCAATGATTTTGGCTCCTGGAGGTCCTCTTGGAGTCCTCGTGGGGCGTTTTTGGAGGCCTCTTGGGCCGTCTGGAGGGCATTGTGGTTGTTTTGGGTAAAGATTGGCCGTCGTGGAGGCGTGTTGGGACTGATTTAGAGGCCATCCTGGCCGTCTTGGAGGCCTTATTGGGCCATCTTAGGCGTCTCGGAAGCGAGTTTTCTGGCTTGGGGGATTCTTCCGTGTAGCTGGCGGGATCGGCGCCAGGGGCCATTGGGAACCCGCAGATTGTTGCAGTTGAGCCATTCAATCTTTTAGCTCGCCAAGCACCACTGTGATAGACACAGGAGGCGGCAGATGAGTGGGCTCGGCCCATCCCGCCACCGTGCTTGCCTGGGCTGTGGGCGGCGTCCTGGATGCCAGACGGGGTCTCTCTTGCTGGGTGTTGGGGTCCTCTTGGTACGCCTCCTCTTGGATGCTTCTTGGAGCGCCCTGGGACGAAGAGGTGGAAGAGGACGACGACGACGACGACGACGAGGAGGAGGATATCTAGACGCAGTGCCCACCCCGTCAATGTCCATGCAACGTAAAGGAGGAGAGGAGGAGAAGGACGAGGAGGAGGAGGAGGAGGACCCTCTCGCCAAGCTCCCTCTTCATAGGCCCCTATAAGGGTTCATTTTCACTGGGGGAACTGCCTCGTTGGGGAACAACCGTTTGAAGACCATGAAGCGTGCCGAAACACCATTCCGGGGACTCCAACGCCACGAATCAAGATCATTGTTGCGTCTTGACGATCTGGAATCGCGCTAGAACGCCGTTCCTGGGACCTCAACTCCACGAATCGACATAAGAGTTGCGTCCTCACGATACTGAGTCTTTGCAAAACATCATGTTTGGCACGTTGACAAATTGAACCCGTGGAACCCATGCACATATGTAAGACGAACGTGCGCGGCGCTAAGGTGAGAGCAACATTTTGAAGACCCCCCGCCCTCAATCCGTGAAACCCTTGCAAATTCTTAAGACGAGCGTGCGCTGCGCTAGGGCGACGGCCACAGTTTGAAGATCACCCGCCCTTAATCCGTGAAACTCTTTCGCAAATGTTTAAGACGAGTGTGCGCGGCGCTAAATGGAGAGCCCCCTTTTTGAAAGACACTCGCCCTCAATCCGTGAAGCTCTTGCATTCCTTACAAAGTGAATGTGCGCGGCGCTGAGGCGATAACCACAGTTTGAAAACCACCCGCCGTCAATCCGCGAACATCTTGCAACTGCTTAAAAACAAGATGCGTGGCTCTAAGAGGAGAGCAACATGTTGAAAACCACACGCCCTCAATCCGTGAAGCTCTTGCAATTTTGAAGACGACTGTGCGGTGCGCTAGCGCGAGAGCCACATTTTGAAAATCACCCGCCCTCAATCCGTGAAACTCTTTCGCAAATATTTCAGACGAGTGTGCGCGGCGCTAAGGGGAGAGCCACATTTTGAAAACATTTGCCCTCAATCCGTGAAGCTCTCGCATTTGTTAAGCGAATGTGCGCGGCACTAAGGCGATGCCCACAGTTTGAAAAACTACCCGCCGTCAATCCGTGAAACTCTTGCAACTGTTTATAGCGAATGCACGCGGCGCTAAGTGGGGGAGCTACATTTTGAAGACCACCTGCCCACCACATGCGAAACTGTTGCCACGTTCAATGTTTCAGAGTCGGGAGTGGTGGGGAAGTCTCAGGCGAAACGTCCGGCCCGCCCTTTCGACTGGCCTCGGGGTGCGATAGCGAAGAGTTGCTAAGAAGGAAAAGGAGCGGAGGAGGAGGCGGAGGAGGAGGAGGAGGAAGAGAAGGAGCAGGAGGAGGAAGGAGGAGGAGGAGGAGGAGGAGGAAGGAGGAGGAGGAGGAGGGAGGTGGGAGGAGGAGGAGGAGAAGGAGGAGGAGAGGAGGAGGAGGGAGGGAGGAGGTGGATGAGGAAGGAGAAGGAGGAGGATAGGGTGAGGAGGAGGAGGAGGAGGAAGGAGGATGTGGAGGAGGGGGAGGATGAGGAGGATGAGGAGGAGGATGAGGAGGATGAGGAGGATGAGGAGGAGCAGAACCTGTAGGGCGGAGGGCGGAGGTGGGAGCGGAGGAGGCGGAGGAGGAGGGAGGAGGAGGCGGAGGAGGAGGGAGGAGGAGGGAGGAGGAGGAGGAGTGAGCAGGTGGCGACGGCGCACCCGTCGTCTGTTGGGCACGGTTGATGTCAAAAGAAAATCCTCCTCCTCCTCCTCCTCCTCCTCCTCCTCCTCCTCCTCCTCCTCCTACCCAGGGGGCCTGTTGAGGCCGGCCTGGACTACCTGAGGGGGGCCGTCTGTGCGGAACCCGAGGCCTCGCCAATCGAAGGGCCGCCTTTGGCGTAGAGGCGCCAGTTTTCTGAGGAGGAAGGAGGCGAGAGGAGCCCCGCCGACATGCAGCGCAAGTCTAAGCCGCCACCGCGCGGGAGGTTGGCGGGCACGGAAGTCTCATCAGCTCACCAAAAGGGGGCCCCTCCCCAGGCAGAGCACCTCTTACCCCCTCTGCATCCTTCTCTCGAGGAGCCGAAAACGGCACAACTAGCATAATTGCTCTGAGGTCCGCGTGGGGTTCTTGGATCGGCGCTGGGCCCCCCTGGCGGCGCCTCCGGCGCCTCCCTCGGCACGCTCCGCGCGCGCCAGGGAAGGGGTCCAGCGCCGATCCAAGAAATCCACGCGTATCTCCGAGAAGTTATGTTTATGCCGCTTTCCGTTCTCCCATCAGCGTGCCACGCCGCTGGTTCTAGGCCAGAGTGCGTCGCAGAGACCCCCTGGCAGACACGAAGCCCTGGTGCCTACGCCGATGAGCTCGGCGAATCGTCTTGCCCAAGCACTTTGGTGCGAATACCAGCCTACACATGAGTTCTCGGAGGTCCGCGCGGATTTCTTGGATCTGCACCTGTGCGCCAGGGAGGGGGGCTCAGCGCCGATCGAAGAAACCCGCGCAAATTTCCGGAAGTTCATGTTTACGCCAGGTACTGTTGCTTAGTGTGTCGCGCCGCCAGTTCTGGCCCACCACGCTTCGGCGCGACACGTCAACTGCTTCCCTTGTCCCCGAGTGTCGATCGACCTCCTGCCACGCGGAGCCGAGCGGCCCACTACCCGCTTGCGGGGCAATGCGGCATGGCGTATCGCTGGGGCCGCTACCGCGACACGCTAAGCAAGAGTTCCCGGCAGAAGATGGCTTCTTGTCGTTATCCGTAAGGGCTTCGCCCCCTGCCGCCGGCCCCCTCTCTTGGAGAATGGGCCATGGAAGAGCTAAGTCATGAGGTCTTGGCGCTGTCGTGAAGCAGTATCGAAACTTCATGCGAAGCCGATTCGCAATCAGCAAAACCAACTGATCACAAGAGGGGTTACCACACCTGGCGATTGGTAAGACGTGTATGGTTTACGGGCTTGGTTACCACACCTTGCGATTAAAGGGCCGAGGGAGTTCTCGCAGTTTGGGTTACCACGCCTTGCGATGGATGTGCGTGAAGGGTGGCACCGAATTTCAGAAATGTGGCAAATCCCCTGTGTTTTTGGACCCTGACCCCGCGGATCTGCGTGAGGGGTGGCACCGAATTTCAGAAATGTGGCAAATCCCCTGTGTTTTTGGACCCTGACCCCGCGGATCTGCGTGAGGGGTGGCACCGAATTTCAGAAATGTGGCAAATCCCCTGTGTTTTTGGACCCTGACCCCGCGGATCTGCGTGAGGGGTGGCACCGAATTTCAGAAATGTGGCAAATCCCATGTGTTTTTGGACCCTGACCCCGCGGATCTGCGTGAGGGGTGGCACCGAATTTCAGAAATGTGGCAAATCCCATGTGTTTTTGGACCCTGACCCCGCGGATCTGCGTGAGGGGTGGCACCGAATTTCAGAAATGTGGCAAATCCCATGTGTTTTTGGACCCTGACCCCGCGGATCTGCGTGAGGGGTGGCACTGAATTTCAGAAATGTGGCAAATCCCTGTGTTTTTGGACCCTGACCCCGCGGATCTGCGTGAGGGGTGGCACCGAATTTCAGAAATGTGGCAAATCCCCTGTGTTTTTGGACCCTGACCCCGCGGATCTGCGTGAGGGGTGGCACCGAATTTCAGAAATGTGGCAAATCCCGTGTGTTTTTGGACCCTGACCCCGCGGATCTGCGTGAGGGGTGTCGATTTCGAGCCCCCCCAGCAATTCAGACAACGCGCCCAGGGGGTGCTAAAAAGCCGGTTTGGGCCTCCCCCCCCCCTCGCGCGGTCAATCAACTAGTTACAGTAACCAGCAATAAGCAGAACTGTAACACTGGAAACTACAAGGTACAACTGGTACAGGAAACTGCGAATCCCGCTCCTCGCAGCCTGGTGGCCCCACAAGGGGGCCGGCGGATACCAAACCTCCCCCTCCCCCCTTCGCGCTGATATGTTCTTGGGGTTCATTCGTATCGCTCCATGCTCCATTCCTGATGCCCGCGGTAGACTGAGTGACGAGTGTTTCGGCAGGATGATCGTCGCGCCTTCCGCTTTCGCCTTCTTCTCCTCCCAGTCTCCACAAGATGCGCTTCCTAAGACCACTTCAAGACAAGGATAATGGGTTCGGAGAAGCCCCGCCGCCTTCCGAGATGGCCCGCCCCCTCCGCTTCCCCCCCAGGCGCACCGTCGACTTCACTCTTGGGTCAGCCCCTTTTCAGGTGCAGGCTGGCATACCACCAACACCTTGCACAACAACATAATGACGCAGACTGCTGAAGCGACAGCGCGTGAGAGTCGTGCGACTCAATCTCGCACACCCGATGTAGGACCCAGACGTCCTGCGCTTCGTTTGCGTGAATGCATTCGAGGAACGAGAAACGGGGACCATTGGGAGTGCACACGCACACGCACACACACAACGTCTTTGTGTTTCCTACGCCTTTCCCTTCTTCTCCCCCCCCCCATGTGGCTGGTGTTGTTTTACTGCTGGCATGGACCAGGGTTGTAAGCAGGCAGCGAGCGCGTAACAGTCGTTTTTGGCGACCACGCTGCCCACTCTCCCTCCTCGGCGTCCTTGCTTTCTCTTCCTTCTCGTTCGTGGCTGGTGCTTAGCATGGTTGAGCCCCCTTTCCCTCAGTGAGGAAGCTGGCAATTTTCATCACCTGCGCATTGGTTGTTTCTGGTGGAGGTTTTGAGGAACAGGAAACAACATAAACATGATTTCTGCGAGGTCCGCACGGCAACGCACGACCGGAGCCCTAGACCCCATCTTTCTGAAGGATTTGTTCGAGTCGGATCGGTCTGGGATGGACCTTGGGCCCGACACAGGCCAAAAACGCCCGTGGTGAAAAGACGCGACGCCAGGATCTCAGGGCAGGGGCAGGAAAAAGTGGGAGTGGAGGAGCGGGAGGCGCCGACCTTCGAGGATGGAGGGCCGAAAGGCGGAAGTTTCCCCTCGACTTCAGTATGTGGAGGCCCGTCTCGGACCCTGGGCGGAGAATCGGCCAGAACCGATTTGGGGTGGATTTGTGGTCGGTCGGCGTCGAGGCGCGCGGGAAGAGGAAGTTCGAGGACATAGGGTCGAACTTCGATGATCGGGGTCTTTTGGGAGTTTGTTGTGGCACTCTGGGGGGCCTCTGGGAGGCTCCTCGTGGCCACGGCTGGATCGCCTCCTGCCTCTGGCTGACTGCGGCTGGGAGGGATCCAAGCCTCCGGGGGCCCACGTTGTGAGAAGGTCACGACCTCGGGGGTCCGGGCCTCTCCCACCCCGGCCGCTGCACAGCCGTGCCTTGCCCTCCGCGTTTCCGCGCGCCCTGGCGGCCGCAGCTGAAGAAGATGTCGGAGAAGGTGTGGAAGACGATCGACAGGCGGGGGAAGCGGACGTGGGGGGGGGCTCGCTCTCGTCCTGCTTCTCCTGCTGATGGTCTTCATGGTTGCTGCTGTGCCTCCTCGCCTCTGCTCCTTCCCCCCGCTGATCCCTCACGCCTCCTCCTCCTCCTCCTCCTCCTCCTCCTCCTCCTCCTCCTCCTCCTCCTCCTCCTCCTCCCCCTCCTCCCCCCCGTAGCCATCTTGGCTCAAGGTAGCCGGCTGCGAGCTTTCTCCATATCCATTCCCACCCCGATGGGTGATCCTCTCCTCGCTGCCCTGCGTGTCATGGGCCGCAAACGCGGTTGGTCCGTGGGCAATTGGTTGCCTTACGCCGTAGCCGTCACATCTGCTGCCGCTCTTCACGATGCGGTCCAGCTTGGCCACGTCAAGGGACAAGACCACCCAGCTCCCGAACGTCGTGCGCAACACGCTGCTCGTGGTCTCAACCCTCACCACGACCTCGACGTTCATCATCAGCTCCCACATCGGGACTCACTCTCAGCCACTGTCGAGGACGTGTCTGAGTCTGGCCGCTTCTCGCCGCAGGAGTGCCAGCTCATGGGGGACATCGCCAAGAACCGCAACGCCAGCTCGCACAAGGCCTATACCTCCCGTGAAATTAAAACTCAAAGGCGACTCTCAAGCTCCTGTTCAGCTTGCTGTTCCTGCCCTGGGCGACGGAACCTCTTCGGAATTTCCGACGCCCGCGCTTCCATGTTCTTACCGTATCCCGCAGGACGCGGTGCAGAAGGGCGTACCGCTGGCAAGTCCGTGCTGACGGTTGTGGTCTCCCTCTCGCCGACGCTGCTCCCCACTCGTCTTCCACTATGGCTAAGTTGCGGTCGGATCTCACACTTGCCGCAAGCGAGCAACAACGATGAGAAGACCAAAGTGCCCTCGATGGCCTCATCAAGCAGGTCAGCGGCCAGAGCATAGAGTTCAAGCAGGGGTTGTCCGTGGTCGTCGCCGCGGCCGAGCTCCAGTTCACCGACATCGTGGACCAGCTGCAACAGCCGCCGAAGCAGGCCGCACTGATGAGCGAGCCCATTCCCATCACCAACAAGAACCAAGGCGACCCCCTCGAGTTGCCGCAGAGCGCGCCGACGTCCGACCTCGCCGTGAACATGTTGCCCGGCATTCATATGGTTTCTGAAAAAGTCGCGCCTGCGGTCGCTGACGCCGCACTTAGCGCGCCCGCCTCCGCCGACCCAATGCTGAACAGCATCCAGACGCAGAGTGTCGACCAGAAGGGGCTCCCGCCCGCCAGGAAGGACCTGCGCTCCATTACCGCTGCTGCCTACAGATTGGTATTCAATTTCGACGTCACCGCTGACAAGCGCAAGGACCTCGCCATTGCCATGCCCGCGAACACCGAGCCCGCGCTCAAGGACGCCACCGACTCCGACGACCGAGTGCCGATCAGCATCCAAAACCACTACGACGACCTGATGCATTTCCTGCATTACGGCTCGCTGGACATGCGCGAAGTTCAGGACTCGACCGAATGCGAATCGCTGGAGAAGGGGCTCCCGCTCGACAAGAAGAGCCTGCACTCCATCATCACTCCTGCCTCCCACGTGGTTTCCGAGTTCGACTCAATCACCGACAAGCGTAAGGAATCGGCCCTCGCCACGTCTGTGAATACGGAGCCTGTGCTCAACCACACCATCGTCTCCAACGACCTGCTGCCGATCAACACGCAGAGCCACTGCGACGACCTGCTGAACTCCCCGCATGACGGCTCGCAGGACATGATCGGATATCAGGACTCGTTCGACGGAGCATCACTGGAGGACCTCATCAGCACCGCAATGTGTTTCGGCGATGTGTGTGGCGGCTCCACCACGTCGGACTGGTCCCAAGCAGACATGGAGACAGACCCCGAGCTCTTCGCCACCAACGACCCCGAGAGCAGCGACTTCCACACGTCCGATTTCCACACCTCCTACAATATGACAGTATGAACATGAGGCGCAGTACCGCCCCGCCCGCCCCGCGCGCGCGGCCGTGCTAGGAACATCGGACGTCCCCGCAAGGCGACGTTCGTTCGTCGTCTTCCTCCTCCTCCTCTTTGATCCTCGTCCTCCCGCCACTCCTGGCTCCTCCTCCCTGCATCCTCCGTACTCCACTCCGCTATTCTCCCATCTCCTCTCCGTCCCCCTGCCCCTCCGTTCTCCCTTTTCCTTACTTCTGCGCGATCGTGGAACAAGGTTGCTCGTCGACCCTCCCTGCTCCCTCCCTGCTGCCCCTCTTTCTCTCCGTGGCGGCCTTCTCTTTGGCGGAGGCGGAAAACCACGGTCTCGCCCCGACAGTCCGCTTCTCCCAGAGGGCCCGTTGCCAAGACCCGCTTCAGGCCCCTTCCGTCGCCTTCGCGCTCCAAGGGGGCGCGAGGCGATGACAAGACGGGGCCGGCCATGTCCGTCGCTCGCTGTCGTCGGGCCCGGCCGGTCCCAGCCGACGGGAAGCTCGTCAGAACGCGGGGTCTCACTCGTGCTCGTCGCCGCCCTCACCTCGCCGCCGGTCGGCCCGCCGCCTCCGGCTGCGAGCTCTCCTGGATGGCGCCTCAGCCTGCCCTCGCGCTTGAGAAGCATCGTTCAGCATCGTGGCGCCGATGCCCATGGCAACTGGGACATGGTATCTCGGCCCCACCAGCCTCCCAGGTGGTGATAGGCCCCACGAGATGAAAGGGAGCAGCATTCATCCCCAACTAGGTGGGCAAGTTCGACAGTGGGACCAAGGCCATGCCAGTGGGGATTGGGGTCGGTCAAACGATGCTCAACCGCATGTCAAGGGGCAGGGAGGGAGTCGGCTAGTCTCCCAGCCGGCCTGGTAGCGTGACAGTGGCCCGCAGCTTGTTCTAGTGAGCGTTCTCCCAGTGTCCCATCTTGCGCTGGCATGACACTGTACCATTGTACCATGGCGAGTTCTGTTACGGCGACTCATGGCCACTTGTGGTTTTCAGGTGCAGCTTCGGCGACCTCATCAGCACAGCCTTTGCGGGGTTTTGTCTATGATGTGTTTTGCGCTGCCGACGGTTCAAGAGCATGTCTCGAACGACACGCGTGAATTAGCAACGTGTGGCGACTGTGTGACGACACTACCTCCAACACTCTCGCTTGGAAGGATTTCCCACAATCCGCAGGCACAGGGCATCCAATGGACGACTAGCGCTTTAACCAGTTCTAACGGATCTGTTCGACTCTACTTCGACTCCTAGTTCGACTCAAGTCCGACTCAAGTCGACGGCAGCTTGACGCACCATCGGTGCATGAGCGGAGCGAGGGGCTCGTGGAAGGTCCCCAGAATATGCGTCTAAGCTGCGCTGGGATAAGCCTGAAGTGCTTCGGCTGAGCCACGAGGCTCGGGGAACAAACAAGGACTTAAACAGAACAACTCGGAGGTCCGCGCGGATTTCTTGGATCGGCGCTGGACCCCCCTCCCTGGCGCGCGGAGAGCGCCAGGGGCGGCGCCCGAGGCGCCGCCAGGGGCCCCAGCGCCGATCCGAGGAATCCGCGTGGATCTCCGAGTTGTTACAGTCGGGGCCCTGAAGAAGGAACCCTTTTCGTTGGGGAGGGGCTCCGCGTTCCTTAAGTGTTTCACAGCTTGCCTCAGGCTTTCCTTATGTTTTCGACAGGGAATCGAAGGTTAACTTGTGGAAAAAAGGGAGCCTCGTTCCTTATTTAGGGTTCCTTAGGTCAACGCCCCGACTGTATGTTTACGTCATTGCTTGTTCCCCTAAAGACAGTCGCGGTTGCACCGCCGAGCCCATCATCAGTATGGCGTCTGGCTGCAGCGCGCTAATTGGAATCCGACTGAGCGTGCACACGGCCTTTGGTCAGTCCGAGGTGCTTGGCTGAGCCACGCGACAGTCGCTCGTTGCATAACATCCAACCCCGATGCGATAAGCCAGGCCTGTTTGGGCGCCACCAGCGGTGGTCCTTGCGGGCACAAGGAAAACCTCGTTTGTGTTAAGGACGGGCAACCTTGGCGATTTGTAGGATATTTTGCAGTCCGTACCAGAGATGTACAGGGCCTTATACACTCCGTGCCGGATCGGTATAGGATGTTCAACATGGCCACTTGTGTTTTTTTCGCATCGGCGTCGATCATCTTGCAACCAGTCGCGGCTGCTCCGTCGAGCCCACCATCATGATTGCGTCCGGTAGCAGCGCGCACCCTGGAATGCAGCGGGGCGTGCGCAAGGCCTCTGGTCTGTGGGCGCTGCCGCTCGCCGCTCGCCGCCCGCCTTTGACGAGGGGCCCCTGAGCGAAGTGCGTCAAACGCGCCACTCAATCAACATAGGGGAACGGATGTTAGCCAGCGTGTGCCCCAGACAGCGTGTTTGTGAAATCTTCGATGTGCAATCGATGTGGTGCAGCTCACTTGTGGAATTCGCAGTGGTCTGCCCCACTCCTCGCGCAACTGTCCCACCCGCCCACCCGCAACTTGTTTTGCAAAACGCAAGCGACGGCGGTTGCGAGGAGTACTTGGAGTTGGCTGGTGCATCTCGGCGGCCGCGCTAGCCCGCGCGTGCTCGCGCGCGCAGTGGCCAGCTAGTTTGGCGCGACCGACGCGGCCGCGGACGCGTTAACCTCTGGGCATTCCCCAGCGGGAATTTCAGTTCGAGTCGGTCACTTGGGCGGGCGCGGTATCATGGCAACGTCGAAAAAGGTACACACGATGATGGTCGTAGCGACACTGGTGACGAGGATGACAATGGCGACGGCACGGCCAGTGACGGCGCCGATGCTGATCACGCCGACGACGATGGCGGCGTCTTCACGTCGGTCATAAAGGTTCTGGGAGGAGTTCGGCATGCGCGCGCGGCCGACACGTGCGAGTGGCCCGCATGGTGTTATTTCACACGGATCGTGCCCCCCAACACGCGCGCAAGGGTGTTCGAGTGATGTCGACAAGCGGCGCGGAAGGCCTGTTTGGCCGAGTTGCATGACGGCGACGGCGACAACATAGCCGCCAGAGCGGCAGACAGGACCAGACAACGGGCAGCAACGGGGCGGCGCTGGCGACGACATAGCCTCCAGAACGGCAGACAGACCCAGTTCTTTAGTAAGAAGGAAGAACCATTAAATGCAAATTCTGTGATGGGAACGACGACACAAACAGCAACGAGGCAGCGACGGGGCGACGACGGCGGCAGCAGAACCGCCAGAGCGCAAACAGGCCCAGACGACGAGCGGCGATGATGAAGCAACAGGGCGGCGACGGCGGCAACATAGCCACCAAAGCGCAGACAGGCCCAGACGACGAGCGGCGATGAGGCAGCGACGGGGCGGCGACGGCGACAACATAGCCACCTGAGCGGCAGACAAGACCAGTTGACGGGCGGCGACGAGGCAGCGACGAGGCGGCGACGGCGGCAACATAGCCGAAAGAGCGGTTGACCGGACCAGACGATGGGCGGCGACAAGTCAGCGACGGGGCGGCGATGGCGACAACATAACCACCAGAGCGGCGGACAGGCCCAGACGATGGGCGGCGACGGGGCGGCGACGGCGACGACATAGCCGCCAGAGCGTCAGACAGACCCAGTTCTTTAGTAAGAAGGAGAGACCCCTAAGGGCAAATTCTGTTTTGGGAACGACGACATAGACATAAAACTCGGAGGTCCGCTCGGATTTCTCGCGTAGTCACTGGGCCCCCCCTGGCGGCGCCTCCAGCGCTGATCCGAGAAACCTGCACGGACCTCCGAGTTTTTATGTTTATGTCATTGCTTGTCCCCCGAAGCCGATTCTGCTGCCGTTCTGCCTCTCTGTGTGTCCTCCCGCTGCCGCGAGGTCTCTTGCCCGCCACCGTTTTCCTTTACCTTCTTCTTTTTGCGATCGGCCCTCGCATCTCCCAGCTTGCTTGTTGCACCACCTCGCCTCATCGTGGGTGGCTTGGGGGGTATCTATGACTCCCCCACTCGGTTTCCCCCTCCTGCTCGTCACCCCTCATGTTTTGCGCGTTGCCGCTCTCAGTGCCCAACATGTGCAGGGTTCAGAGGCTGGTTGTCTTACTACTCTTGTCCCCCCTTTTTGTGCTACGAGTTGCACAGCTGTGAGCCGCTCGGCCGCTGGGAGGCCCCTTTTCCTTTGTCTCCCCCCAGCTCTCTCCTCCTCCGCCGTTGGAGCTGTTTTCTTTAAGCAAAAACAAACACAAACACGCAAAACAAACTGACCGGTAACGGCCGTCATCTGGGAGGGAGAGGGAGCCGATGACGTCACGTTTCGCGGCGGCGGCGTCTAGGAATGCGTAGGAATGACCGAGGACGTGTAGCAGCAGCATGTCGGCGGCGATCTGCACCACACCGCCTGTGTACACCACTGTGTCTGCGTGCACCACAGCGCCTGTGTACACCACACCGCGTATGTACACCACAGCAGCTTCGTGTAACACAGCGCCAGTGTGCACCACAGTGCCTGCGTGCACCACAGCGCTTGTGTGCACCACAACGCCTGCGTACACCACAGCAGCCGTGTGCAACACAGCACCAGTGTACACCACAGTGCTTGCGTGCACCACAGCGCCTGTGTACATCACGGCGCGTGTGTGCACCACAGCAACCGTGCGCAACAGAACACCGATTTTGTAGATGGAATCCTAACGGCAAAATGGAGCGCATGTGATTTCCACAGACAACAATTGTTTGATGTTGGATGTGGCAAGGAATCTTTATGGAAAAAGAGCGCTGCTAGAATCTACGAGTCCTCCCGACTCCTCCCGCATCATCCTAACTCCTCCCATCTGCGTCCAGAAGGCTTCCGCAAAATTGGCCGTCCGAAAACCGAGTGGACTGATTCAATTGACCATTCTGCGGTGCACATTGAGATGCGCACGTGCGCTGTAGCGCCGACCCGCACGACGGGGGGAAGGGGGAGAGGGAGGAGGGGGAGGAGGAGGAGGAGGAGGAGGAGGAGGAGGAGGAGGAGGAGGAGGAGGAGAAGGAGGAGGAGGAGAAGGAGGAGGAGGGAATAAGTAAACATCGCATTATATAATGTGCACTTCCCTTGCGTGGTGTTCAGTTGTCCGCAGCAGATCCTTACCGACATGCTCCTGTTACCTGTCTTGTGCACGCAGGCGCTGTGGTGTACACCGCCGCTACGGTGCAGGCGGATGCTGTGGTATACACAGCCGCCGTGGTGTGCACAGGCGCTGCGGTGCACGCAAGCATTGTGGTGTACACAGGCGCTGTGTTGCACATGGTCGGTGCGGTGTATACACTCGCTATGATTTACACAGGCGCTGTGGTCCACACAAGCGCTGTGGTGTACACAGGCGCTGCGTTGCACACGGCGTCATCTCGGGGGGGGACGGGGCTGGTGACGGCCGCTACTATCCTGGACAATAAAAAACTTTTGCGGGGGTTGGCCAGAGCCCTGAGTCCCGGCTAGTTCACTTGTCGGAGCTGGGCTGTTTCGACAGCCAATTCCCACCGTGCAGGTTGGGACGCTCGGTGAAAAGCCTCATGTCCACCCCCTTTTTCCCTCGCCCCTTCCGCCGGCCAGGGACCCCCGCGTGCCGCCCACAAGAGAAGAGCAGCTGAAGGAGTGGTTCCTCAACGCGCCCGCGAGGGCACGAGAGCTGCTCCGAGAGCCCTCGGCTCGGTGTCTGTCGACATGCACAGTCGGCGATTAAGCATCATGGTATCACGGGGAGGGGACGGGCTCGAGGTGCAACGTCAGGGATTCGAGGTTCAAGGTTGGAGGTTTTCAAACATTTTCGTTGGCTCTCGGCGACTTTACAGCCTCGGGATGCCTTCCACGGCTGCGCCTCGCCGAGGGGCGTCCAGGGCTGCCCGGATCGCCCCGAAAAGCCGCCAGAGGCCCGAGTTTCGTCCCGAACGGCCGCCAGAGGCCCGAGTTATTATTCTAAAACCATTAGGGGACCAGCTCAGGAGGCGATCGGTTTTTGACGAGATTGCGGTCTCGGTGATCGTTGTAAGGTCTCTGCGACGAGAGCGGCGATCGATGCCATCATCGGAGGTTCGGTCTGCTTACGCCAAACGGGCGCCCTGACTCCGGATGTCGTGTTTGAGGCGATTTCGCAAGTAGGACGGGAATGCCCGCCCTATTTTTCAAGCTCCTTTGATGCCGATTTCTGCCCTACTCTGCCGTCGCTGTTTCCGCCATGCCTTAGCGGACGTATCCGCCCGGCGGACATTCCCGCCTTCTTTTCTGGCATCGTTTGGGCTGCGTTCCCGGCATAACTTTCAAACGGAAGAGCAACCAAAGTAAGGTGGATCCGAAGTCAGGGCTGTCTGCTCACGCGATCGGGTGGCGTTTTGTTGGCCCGTTGATCGTCAAGACGCTGAGGTCCTTGGAGTGGTGCCAGGAGTTTCCGACGCGGTGCCGGGAGATGCCGCGACGGCTGCTGAGGGCGCGCTGGGGGTGTCAGTGCACAGCGCAGGTGGAAGGATGATGATGATGATGATGATGATGATGATGATGATGATGATGATGATGATGATGATGTTGATGGTGGTGGTGGTAGTGAGGATGATGACGATGACGTTGATGATGGTGTTGAGGATTATGGTGATGCTGATGTTGATGACGATGGTGATAATGATAATGATGATGCTGATGATGCTGCTGATGATGATGATGGTATTTAATTGTGATGGCGATGGTGATGGTGATGACGATGAAGATGATGATCATGATGATGACGATGATGGTGATGATATGGCGATGATGTTAACAATTATAATGATGGTGGTGGTGAGAATGATAATGGTAACGATGATGATGATGATGATGATGATGATGATGATGATGATGATGATGATGATGATGATGATGATGATGATGATGATGATGATGATGGTAATGGTGGTGGTGATGGTGATGGTGATGGCGAATGTGGTGATGGTGATGGTGATGGTGATGGTGATGGTGATGGTGATGGTGATGGTGATGATGGTGATGTTGATGATGATGATGATGATGATGATGATGATGATGATGATGATGATGATGATGATGATGATGATGATAATACTGATGATGCTGCTGCTGCTGCTGCTGATGATGATGATGATGATGATGATGGTGATGAGGGTGGTGGTGACGATTATGACGTGATGGTAGTTCTTGTTGCCCAGGGAAAGAGTCCTCATCGTCCCTGACGCCTTCCACGGCTCTCGTGGCCTGACCTTCTCATCTTGTCCGCCCCTTTTGCCCACTTCTCCAGGTCCCTCCCTCGCTGTTGGGCTTTCCAGATCCTTGGCCTCTTCCCTGGCGATGCACCCCCCTCTCTCTCTTCCCTCTCCTCTCCATTCGTTTGTTTTTGGACATTTACGGTGGGTGCTAGTCTTACAGTGTCTGCGTCTCTTCCCCCATCCCAATCCTCTCGCTTCTCCCCCTCCCCTCTCCTGACCTGTCTATCGGCGATCCCTGCCCCATCCCTCCAGGGGCCCCATCGACGTTATTCGCAGCCGGCCGGCGCCGTTATGACAGGTCGCGCGTCCCGAGTGTCGGACCCCGGTCGTCCCCATGTGAAGTTTGCGTGGTGATTCACGGAGCTCGGACACGTGGTGGCTGTCATCAGTTGTTAACCCCCAGTTGCCATCGTTGCGGAATTATCCGAGACGTATTCATAGCCTTCTCTTCGTGAGGTGACTACGTATATGAACGCTTGGATCTGCGTGACAATCTACACCGTTGGACCTTCCAGGAGCCCACGAAAGTGGCAACAGTTGCGCAGTTCGCAGCCTCCCAGGGAGCCGCGGTGTCTCGCGTGACTACCGCCTCCGTTGGACCTCCCAGGAGCCCACGAAAGTGGCGGCAGTTGCCCAGTTCGCAGGGAGCAGCAGGAGGAGGGGGAAGGAGAAGGCTGTAGACCACAGCGCTCTATTCAAAACGAGAACCCAACAGACAGGTTGTGAAACATACATACAAGACAGGGAGGGGGAGAAGAGAGGGAGAAGAAGCGAGGAGACGGGATGAACAGGCGTGATGGGGGCAGGATGACTCAGACATTCGGCGCTTTCTTTTATTTCAATGCGTGGGTCCCCGCGCCTCTCGACCATGGCTTGTCGTCCTGAATCGTCTCTTGACGGTCCCTGGGCCCGAAGCCGTCGCCTAAAGGCCCAACATCGTGACAGAACATGCGCCTCGAGCTTGTTCGACTCGATGTTTGTTCGAGGCGTCGGATGTCTGGGCAGCAGGGAAGGGGAGAAGACGGAAAAGGAGGAGGGGGGAAGAAAGCAGAGGGCGCACGAGGTGCCTCCCCTGGGACCAGGCCGCCGTTTTGCTGTTCTGCGAACCCCCACCCCGATTACAAATTCTTGACGCTTTGCGTACCCCCACCAGCGTTGTGATGGGTCGCCTTGCCAGTGTGGTGCCTCGCCCGCGTTTTTCGGCTGTTCCGCCGGTGCCGACTCGTCCGTCGGTCGTGGCCAGCCCCAACAGCTCTGAGGTGGTTCCGTTGGCCGCACGCTGAGTGGTCCAGCCTTCAGCGCCAACGGCCTTTGTTTTCCACCACCAGCAGCTGGTCCCCCAGGCTGGTGCATAGTTGTCTGTCTGGGTAGATGCTCGGAGCTTGGCGCCGCAAGGGCGACTCTCCGTAGCACTCGCACCTCTGTGCGCTAGGTGCGTCACTACGAATGTGGAGCATTTTGCTCAGCGCACGTGCATCGCACGCCTTGCGTGCAATTTGCCTGTACCGCCATCCCGGACACGCCTGTTGCCGCCAGACCGTTGTCGCGCGGCCGCCGACCAAAAGTACCCCCACCAGCCCGCCACCCACAGTGCGTACGTGGCCTCCGGCGCTCCCCCCGGGACGCTAGGGCCAATGCCAGCTGACACCAGGGCCCTCTCCCTGCGACTGTCCCTCCGCAGGAGGTGCTCAGGCCCACCACAGTGCAACCGTGGCCTCTGCACCCGTCGCTCTTCGCTGGTTCCGTTCGGGGGCCATGGCCCGTGGTGAGTCGACTGATCGGACGGCGCGCATCGCCGGTTCCTCCGGATGCAGGATTTCTGTTGGCAGTTGTTTGATGCCGGCCTACGTGATGTGGTCATGCGATTTTGTTCTTGACGACGGCGGTGGCGCTCGGGCTCCACACTCGGCACATGCTGTCTCGTAGCCGACGACAAGTTTGCCGAGGACGACGTTGTCGCAGTTGGGCGCTGTCGAATTGTTCGGCACGCGGGCCCGGCTGATTTCGACTTCTGAGCGCGCTGCCCGCAATCATATGCTGCTTGCTCGCCGCTTCTGTCCCCGGCCGCGGCATTTAGGTTTGCTTGATCCTTGTGCCGGCGCGCGGCTCTCCCGCTTGCGCTCGCGAGCGAAAAAGTGTTCCCGCCAGCTTCCCGGCCGCCCTCGCAGCTTGCAGACCCCCCCTCGGCGCAGCTCAGCCCCGGCGCAGCTGCTTCCCTCGGCGGTAGGTCTTGCCTGTTCGGCGCGCGCGCGCCGGCAATTAGGTTGCTCGTAGCCCGAGCTAACTCTGCTGACGCCGTCGGCGCCTTAGCCCGCGGCCGCGACAAAAAGTATCCCCACCAACCCATCCAGAAGCAGATCGCCAGGCGAGTTGCCATCCAGAAGCGTAGAAGAGTGCAGTGTAACAACTGCCTTGGGAGTTTTTTCTCGGAGGTCTCTTGGAGCCTTTTGGGGGCTCTCTTGGGGTCCTCGCGGAGCCTCTTGGGGCTTTCTTGGGACCTTCTTGGGGCCCTCTTGGGGCTCGTAGGGGGAGTTTGGGAGACTCTCGGGGCCAGCTTGGCCCCCATGACTCCCAAAGACGGGGGGTAATACATTCAGGTCCCCCCTCTGGGAGGCTCAAACATGGCGTCTGGAGGCCCTCTTGGGGCTTTTTGGGGGCTCTCCCGGGCATTCTTGGGGCCCTCTTGGAGCCCTCTTGGGCCGTCGTTCGGCCATTTTGAGGCCTCAGGAGCCCATCGGAAGCGAACAGGCGAGACGGCAAAACACATCGATGTTTCTTCGATTTGGGAGCCGTTGTGTTTTTTTCTTGGTCCTTGGAGGGTTCGGAGGGCACTTGGAACCCATCTTGGGGCCATCTTGAGGCGTCTTGGACGTTTGTCGGAGGCTATATTGAGCCATCTTGAGGTATTTTGAGCAATATTGCAGGCCATCGTGGGCTCTCTGAGACCCTCTTGGAGCCATCTCGGGCCACCTAGGACGCTCTAGCCCTTCCGCCCAGGGGAGGGGTGGGGGGAGGGGTCAAGCGACCCACCCGCCCGCAAGCCGTCTAGTTCATTCCCACCCGCCCTCCCTATACATAGAATGTAACACCCGAGCCAGAACATGTTCAGCGGTCGTCTTTGGATGGACAGCTGATGCGCCACGCGTGCCACGCGCACCACGCGCGCCAGGCACCCTTGGGGCCCGAGCGTGCCAGGCACGCTTGGTGCGCCAGATGCGCCACGTGCTTCGAATGCGCCAGGTGCGCCGCACACTCCAGCCGCGCCAGGTGCGCCGCGTTCGTGGCACGTACAAAGTGCGTCAGGTGCGCCTGCGCGTGTGGCAGCACACATCGAGAAACACGTCGGCCCCCACCATCCTTGTCGAAAACCGATGTCCAT